GGGGGGAGAAGGAGGAGGAGGAGGAGGAAGAAGAAGAAGAAATGCTAACATGTTAACATGTTAGACTCTGTTAGCTCTCTCATAGCATCCCTGTCCCACATGAAGAAGGAATGAGACTATAGCATTATACACATTTTACAGGTTAATGAAACTGAGACACATGGAGTTTAAGTCAGTAATCAGTTGAAAGTTGATTGCAGATTTGAGACCACCACTCTGATCCCTTGACCCTACCCTCAAAGTCTAGATCAGTCCCTGCCCAGAGATGTTTCTCTTTCAGTAGAAGGTTGATGTTGACAACTGGAAAATGTCAAAGTCTTTCATGGGGGAGATGGTTTATTTAGGTAAGTAATTTTAAAGATGGAATGTCTACCAAATTCTTAGTAGTGACTATTTAAAAAATCAGCACACCTTTTAAAACACTTTCCTTTTGCCTGCCTCATTCTCCTCCGGACCTAGAATTTTCAAGAAGTTCTGTCTACTGGATAAAAAGAGGAGAATACTGGATTTGGGCAGGGCCTGGAACTAGGGGGAAGACAACTTGAATAGAAGTAAGTTCTGTCTAAGCAGTGCCAACAGGATTTACAAGCCTTTGAAAATACCGCACAAATGGTCAGCCCTTTCCAGAATCTTCCCAGGGAGGATTTATACTTGTGCAATAGACTCCTAATTTGTGCCGTTGGCCTTTTCAAGACATACTGAGTTTCCAAAATATTTCTGTTGATTGAATGACAAATTAGCAAACAAACTACTGCTGAGTTGCCAAAGTGCTTTATGTCTTCTTTCTGTATACCCTTCCACATATTCCTGAGAAGGGAATGACCCCTGAGTGTCATCATCTTAATGTGGGTATGTTCACCAGCTGTGGAGTTAGTAATGCTAGAACTTACTCTGGATCTAGGTGCTCTGTGTTTGGAATCTTGGCTTCACCACTGAGCTGCTGAGTGATTGTGGATGAATTTCTCAAATGCTCTTAAGCCTCAGTTTTCTCACTTGTCAAATGTGGGCCACAGTCCCCACCTAACAGAGTTCTTAAGTGGATCCCATAGTAAAATGAAGTAAAGCATGTAGCTCAGTGTCTGGCACAGAAGGTCAGTGCTCAATAAATGTTGGCTCTGGTGTCATTATTCCCCAGGACAGTTCCTTCGTCGAGGGGAAGTGTTTTGGGATGATCTGAACTGCACCATCAAGTGCCGCTGTCTGGATTTCAACAATGAGATCTACTGCCAGGAGGCCTCTTGCAGCCCCTATGAGGTGTGCGAACCCAGAGGCAAATTCTTCTATTGCAGTCCCGTGGAGATCAGCACCTGTGTGGTGTTTGGGGAGCCACACTACCACACTTTCGATGGCTTTCTCTTCCACTTCCAAGGCTCCTGTGCCTACTTGCTGGCCCGACAGTGTTTGCAGACTTCTAGCCTCCCTTTCTTCAGTGTGGAGGCCAAGAATGAGCACCGAGGTGGCTTAGCTGTTTCCTGGGTGAAAGAGCTCTCTGTTGAGGTCAATGGCTACAAGATTCTCCTTCCCAAAGGAAGCTATGGAAAAGTCAAGGTGAGAGCCTCTCCTTTCTTCATGGGGAGATGGTGAAACTGGATATTCTTTAGCCTGATGACATCTTCCCATCTACTAGTTCTGTAGTTTATTTCTCTATGGTCCCAAAGAGATAGATGCATGCTCTTCCTGCCTTGCAAATATCTTGCAATATGCTTTACTTGACAAAATTTTATTTGTATAAGAATTTCACTGAGCCCTGTCCTTAACAAGTCTATTCACTTGTTTTGGTCTTATTTTTGTTTTTTGTAGGGTACGGGGGATTGAGCTTGGGTCCTGGCGCTTGAACTTGGGTCCTTGCTCTTGCAAGGCAGGTTGTGGAACCACTGAGCTAAATCCCTGGCCCTAAGTCTATTCAATTTTAAATTTAAAATTGATTTATATTCCTAGCTCCCTCACTGGTAGACACATGTACACACGTGTGCGAGCACACGCACATTCACACACACACACACAATTGAAAGGAAAAATGGATAAGTTTAATTTCCTTTAGATCTGCCTTATAATAGCAGTAATCACATGGACATGGTACATGTACAAAGTACAAACCCATAATTCAGTAAGCCTTTGATTAACAATCCTCACCCCATCTCAGCCCCCATCCTGTTTTCCCAATACCTGTTGTTTTATTTTCAGAGAAATATGTATTGGAAACCCCAGAGACACCACGTGAGGAGGCACCTGCAATGGCCTTGGTGACTTCCTTAGTGAGGGCTGTGTGGAAGAGTCCCATGAAAGCTTTGCCCAAAAACCCCTCTACCAGAATCCCCTGTTGTTGCCCAAACTAACAGAGAACTTGGGTCTCTGCTGGCCTGTTTAGCCTATGCAATGATTCCTGTTGCTGTCCACCTGGATTTCAAGCAGGGACATTGACAAAAGAGGGAGAGCAAAAAGCCACTAGCAATTACTCAATTTGTGGAGGCCCCAGTTTTCACTGTGGTAATGAAGTCCTTGTTGAGACCATGTATTTATTCCAGCAATAATAACCAAGACCACAAGGGGTTGATTGCTGCAACCCCATGCAATCCTTAATCCTCATGCATGGAGGTCATTACAGAGATTACGAACCAGAACAAATGCCAATACAGGCATTCCTTTCTGTTTTTAAAAAAAGTGTTGTAATTTTAATTGATGCAGCATGTCTAACAAAAGGCAGGACTGGGGAACTAATTCTACTTTTTCTGGCTGTGCCCTTCCTAGATCTATGCAGCTTATCAGCTTCATAATTAGGAAAGTGAGCTATTACTGTGACTGAAATGCCAATGTGCTTGTTATTTGGGTAGTATCTCTAGGGAAAGCTTCATATGTCAAATCAAAGCTAAGAGTTCGGGCCCAGAAGTTTGGAATTTTTCCATTTTAAATTTGTATTATGTCGTTGAGCACTAGGCTTATCCTAGTGGATAGATGTTAACATTTCAAGCTAAAAATTTTTCACTAGCTTTCCCCTACTTGTTGAATTGTGAGGAGGATGTGTATGATATCAGTGGTTGAGAAAGAAAGGTTCATGCTTTATTCCTACTTTCCATTTTGATTAAAATTCCTTTTCACTCACAGTCAGACATTTTTAGAAAGAAAGGGGCCTTGTCATTTCTCTCAGGCCTAGCAGCTCTGCTAATTTTGTGTGGCTGTATTCCATCGTCCAGGCGTAGGGCACAGATTCCTCAATTTTCTGTAACGACAGGGAGATGTGGATGTGAATATAAATGTTTCAGAAAGAAAAGGTTATGTGACTCCAACTGCCAGCTAACAATGGCTTCCTTTTCCTTTTGCCAAATGGTTTCTAATGTCTTTGAATACACCTGCTCTGCTGGGAGAGTGACTGGGTAGACTGCAGAGCCTTGACCCAGGGTAACTTAGGGACAGGCAGGGAGAGGGCTGGATAGCAGAAAGGAGCCTGAGATGCCTGGGAGGCAGCAGATTTCTCCAGCCACATTGTGCCAAGCTGGGAATAGATACTAAGATCTGTCCTTCCAAACTAAAAACTACAGACCCCTTTCTTCAATCCTGACTCCGCATGCTGGAGGTGCATTCTATCTAGGGATTTTTCTACACTGAACTATTCTCAACTAAGGAAGTAAACAACTCTAAGCTTGTGTATGCTAATGGGGCTCAAAAGAGAGCCAGCATTGCTAAAAATCCATTATCTGACAAATGTCTCCTTCTAGCTAATACAGGTTTTCCTATTTCTCCTTCTCATCGACACCAGTAGTTTAGGGGCCTCCACTGGAAAGGGAATCGAGGCCAACTAGCCCATGGTGATGAAGACTTCAGACTCTGATGTGTGATCTGCTCACATCCTTGTGCCACTACTGCTACTACAGATTTTCTTCATCTGTAGAGTGGAGACAGTCATATCTCCTAGACAGGATACCTAAGCTTTTGCCTGGGTTTGGTTGGGATAGTGGCAGCAGGAAGATGTGGTGACAACATGGCTTTGGCGTCTGATTGGCAGGTCCAGTCACCTGTGAGTCACACCAGCCTTGATTCTCAATTTCCTCATCTGTAAAGAGGGAGAACAATATGGACTTTCTAAGGTTATTGTGAGCCTTAAGTAGCATAGCCATGTTTGCAGTGTCTGCTCTGAGGCCAGGTACACAGTAGGCACTCAATACATGCTGGCTCTACTGGAATATCTTTCAGTTGTAAGATCTATGCTTCTGTGGTTCCCTGTTATTTCTCCTCCCTTTGACCATGGCCACATCCTGGGACAAACTCTATTGAAGGGAAAAAGGAGCAGAACCCAGGGAGAAAAAACAGTGAGGTTTGTCTACCATTGCTAAATTCAAGGTGAGGCCTGGGCTAGAGATGAGATGAGCAATCATCTGTCATAATAAGAGTCCTCCAGGAGCCCCTGCTCTGAGTGCTGGGGACACAAGTAACTCATGTGTGATGAGAGTGGAGAGGCTGTCATGAGCACTTGTGGCAGGAAAAAGGCATCAATTGAGGATGTTGCCAACCTCTATGATCGATCCAGGTGTGATGTCAGCCAGAGAGAAAGAGGAGAACAGATCCAGAAGAACAGGAGGAAAACTATAGCATCCAGAGTCTCTCTGCCTCTGGCTTCTGCTCCGAGAGATAGAAGACTTTGCCACTCATTAGCAGGAGCTTGAGTGAGAGGACAGAGCAATCAATAATTGATATATTTGGCATTTAAAACTATACCAACCTTGAGGAAGATTTCTCCTTCTATGTCCCAGAATAGTGCAATGCATAAAACTTATTCAATATTCTTGCTAGCTGACTTTCCTTACAGTGTGGTTTTTCCCACCCGTGTTGGCTAGCCCCACCTAGGAGATAAGGATACATTAACTAATTCTTTGTTTTTTTCTTTCTACCTTTAGCTCTCTGTAGGAGAGTTTCTTTCTCAAGCTTATTTTTCTTGTCTCCTTCCCCATTCTCCATTCACATGCTGACATCCTAAACTCCCAAGGTAGTGGTGTTAGGAGACAAGATCTTGGGGAGGTGACTGGGCCAGATAGAGTCATGCTAAATGGAATAGAGCCCTTATGAAAGGCCACAGGTAGTTTGTTTTCCCTCTGTCATATGAGGACCTAGTGAGAAGGTGTCATTTATGTACCTGAAAGTTAGCTTATAGATACTGAATCCATCATGGCCTCTAGAACTGTGAGAAATACATTTGTGTTGTTTTATAAGCCACCTTCTTTATGGTGTTTTATTATAACAGACCAAACAGATTTAGACAGAAGATGGTACCAGGAATGGTGTGCTGCTACAACAAATACAAATGTGGAAGTGGCTTTGGAACTGGGTGATGGTTGGAAGCTTAAAAGCCCTGTAGCTATGTTGCTGTGAGCAGATCATGAAGGGTGATGGTGATTTTGGTGAGAGCAAACTGAGAGAGCTGTACCTGGCATCTGACAAAGTAAATGTCAGGAGCAATGTGTGGGAGATCTATTGTCTAAGTAGCAAAAACAGTGGCACATAAGGCCCTTGTCCTCTCCATATGCCCAAACGAGTATAGGTCTGAGACAGATGGAAAGTTGATGTGCACTTACAGTCAAGCCCAGTGAGGACTGTGTGAGGACTAATCATTCCCTCCTAGTCCATGAACCTGAGGGTCTGTAGGTGCAAGGCATGGTAAGTGGGAAGAAAAAAACCAGCCCTATCTGTTAGAAGCTTTTCAAGGCACCTGCTCAAATTATCTAGATGCCTGGAATGCACTCTTCTTTCTTCCTCCATCTCTCACGGCTTCTACAAAGACCACCGGAGCCAGTGGAGTAAGCTCCATTAACTCATCCTCCCTCTTTCTGTCCATGTCTAGTTCGAGTTCTCATCCTCATCAGCCTCTGGATTCCTGTAGCAGTTGTCTACGTTTTGCTTTTCACCCTGGTCTTAGTTAAATAAGATCTTTACACTAGCCACGCTGGACCTTCAAAATGCAAATAAGACTATGTCATTCTCTTGCATAAAGTCCCTCAGGAGGTCTCCCTACGGAATAGAAAGCCAGATTTGTGTTGTGTTGGTTTGTTTTTAACATGGCTTTAAATGCCCTCCAGGATCTATTCTCTACACAAAGCCAGGGCAATTCTTTTAAAGCATAAGTCAGATTGTGTAGATCCTTTGTTTTAAGCACCCTCTTGGCTCTGTGTCTCACTCATAGTCAAAGCCAAAGTCTTTAAGAGGCGGACAGGCCCTCCTTGTTCTGGCTTCTGTTCTGACATCAGCTACCACTGCCCTCTGCTGCCATCTCTGCTCCAGCCATGAAAGGCCCCCTGATACTCTGAGGCACCAGTATACTCCCAACTTCAGTCTTCCTGGTATCTCCTTGGGACCCCCCTCTCACTCCAAATCTGGCATGGCTTCTTCTTCCTTTCAGATGTCCCCTTTCCGTGGAGCACTGCCATAACCTTCCTATTGAAGATTAAAAACCCTATTCTTTAGCACTTGTGATTCATATTCCTTGCTTGATTTTTCTGCATAACATCTACCTTACATAATTAAATAGTTCACTCATTTATTTTGTTTGCTCTTGGTCTCTCAGTTAAAATACAGGTTCCATGAGTAGGGACTTTTGTCTGTTTCACTTAGTGCCAATCTCAACTCTTACAGCAGAACTTGATCACAGAGCGATATAAGTGGCTGTTTGCAGGATGATGGGCTTGGCCTGTGTCCCCAGCTTCATCTTTGGTCACCTGTTCCCCCTGCAGTCCAGAACACCCCATGAGTCACCCCCATACCCCACACACAACTGTCTTCACCCTTCTGCCTTTGTTTATTTGTCCTGGAATTTTCATCCTACCCACCATCTGCCTCTGATCATTTCTGTTTATCTTTAAAAACCTGGGTTACACTTAACTACTTCTAAAAACCTTATATGACTTCCCCAGGCTGGAGTAAGTGTCCATTTACTTTTCCCTCATTGCACCATATATTGGTTCATATTTAAAACTATCTACTGTAAGTGCCATTTGTGTTCTTTTTTGGTAGGCTGAGATCTCCTTGGGGGGCTGGACAGTTATCATTTTTAATCATGTACTTCTCAACTCCTGACATAGTGCATGGTACCTAGCAAGTGTTCAGATTTATCGTTGTTCCGTGATTAAATGACCTGGCACCGATATGAGGAAATCACAGAGCAAAACACATAGAGAATGGTACTAGGGAACCCCAAAGCTCCATGGGGTTCAACAGTCAATATATTCACATTTCAGCTGGGAGAAGTGTCTGTGGCACTAAGGAGCCATGGAAAATGTTCAACAAATTGATACTTAATGAACTTTAGAGGAAAAGCAGGGATGAGTCTTTCCAGAAAAGGCTTGAAGCTAGAGCTAGCAAGGAGAGGGTTACAACCATTGATCCAAAGGAGTCTAGGGGCACAGGAAATGCCACAGCTACGCTGGCTCAAGTCCACAGTGCTGGGCTAGTCAATACCAGCTGCTCCCTAGAATTCTCTCCAGCCTTTGCTGTAGTAAGATGTAAGCCTACCGGACCCTGGACATTTTGGGTGGCCATTCTCTCTGGAACACTGAGTTTCTCTGACCTCCTTTTCTAACCTCTGCTGGAACCCATTGCCTGGGCACCTGCTCACCGCCTTTTACTGTTACTGTTGTTGGCAGGTTAATGACCTAGTGATTTCTTTGCCCATCATCTTAGACTTGGGGGCAGTGAAAATCTACCAGAGCGGCATGTCTACTGCCGTGGAAACGGATTTTGGGCTCTTAGTGACATTTGACGGCCAGCACTACGCCTCCATTTCCATCCCAGGCTCCTATATAAACTCCACCTGTGGGCTCTGTGGGAACTACAATAAAAACCCGCTGGATGACTTCCTGCGCCCTGACGGCAGGCCGGCCATGTCTGTGCTAGACCTGGGAGAGAGCTGGCGTGTCTACCATGCAGACTGGAAATGTGGCCCCGGCTGTGTGGACAACTGCACCCAGTGTGATGCTGCCACCGAAGCCCTCTACTTTGGCTCTGACTATTGTGGCTTCCTCAACAAGACCGATGGCCCCCTGTGGGAGTGTGGTACTATTGTGGACCCCACAGCCTTTGTGCATAGCTGCGTGTATGACCTGTGTAGCGTGAGGGACAATGGCACGCTTCTCTGTCAAGCCATCCAGGCCTATGCCCTTGTGTGCCAAGCCCTTGGCATCCCAATCGGAGACTGGCGAATCCAGACTGGGTGTGGTAAGCTGGCGTCCCATCCCAGTGAAAGGCCTCATTTGTGCTGGGGGTGTGGACAGGGTTTCAGGGGTCCTCTAAAGGTCCTTGTTAAGACTTATGGCCCAAGGGTAAGGGGTGAGAAAGAGGCTGAACTCTAACAAATTATAAGGAATGAACTGTAAAAGAATCCCTTCCCTTCTTCCCGCCCAATAGCAGAGCTGAAAGTGCAATGATGAGCATAAATGGTCTGGAAGTGTAGAATGGATGGTAGGAAATACGTGGCTGGAGGAAAGCTCAAAGCAGGGGAGACAACCACAGAGCTGGGCAAAGGCTGGGCTTTCCAGAGGCAGTGGTGTCTGTTGCATTAGTGTAGATGCTGGCTTGGGTGATCAGAACCTGCCTTTGGGAAAAGAGTTCACTTCCCAAAAGGAACCTGCAGCCACAGCTCTGTGGCTCTTTGACTTCCATTTTTGGTCCCTTTAAGAGTTTGTGCCCTTTGCTCTGGAGCATTTCAGCTGACCTGCTGCTGCTGGTCAAAGAAAAGGCTGCAGATAGAATGCAGAGTATGCCAGTGAAGAAGCTCTTTTTCTAAAAGGGTAAGCATGGTTAAGAGAAGCCCCAATTTGGGGGGAAGTCCAGGATCTTTTGAAGTACATTTTTGGATTAAGCATTTTACATTATTTACTTTTTTTTTTTCTGTCTAGACCATTGCAATTTCTCTTTTTTTCCTAGTTATGTAAAATTTTAAAACTAAAAATGTTTTATTTCTGTCTTAGTCCTTGGTTTCCTCTTACATGTGTAAACAGAAAATTGTAATCCATGCATTTAAGAGTACTCTGGAGGTGAGAAGATTTTAAAATTTCTTTAAATTCTAAGGCCAGAGGGAGATTTTTCTCATCCATAAGTATAAGTTGGAGTAACATAAGAATGTCATGTGTCAGATTCAAATCTTAGAGTATTGGTCAAACTACTAAGCAGCAGTTATTTTTCTTGCTTTGAGACAGATCAACCTCTGTATGCCCAGAGAAGATGCATCATAATTCAAGTTGAGGCTGAACATGGCTTCTCTCTGATCCTTATATAATCCAAGAACATCCCAATTGTCAAACTACATTTTTACATATAATGGCTATTTTTTCCTAGTGACACTGCTTTCCCACCTTCGTATTTCTTCCCCTCCCCTCTTTAGGTCGATGAATTATATTTAATTCAGAGAGCTAGTTTACTAGGCCCCTGCCTGCTGGGCAGATCTAAACGTTTATATAGACTCAGATGCTCTTGAAATAAGAATAGTAGGCATCAAAGGCATGAAGGCACTGAGTTCCCATCCAAAGCACACAGTCTTTGCAGGTAGCTGGTGCTCTTTCTTCTTTTTAATATCCCAAGGAATTTATTTCCATTGTCTGTCTTAGTCAAACCAGATATTTTAAGTACCTCTTTGTTAGAAATTTCATGTTTTCAAATCACTCCTCTAGCAGTTATATGTTCTATTGCTCCTAGAATTGAAATGTATTTCCTTCTAAGAATGAGCCATGATCTTTAAAATCAGGTCAGCTCATATGGCCATCCATTGAAGCTCTAAAAACATCTTAATGGCCGGAGATCACCAAATAATAACTCTGTATTGAGTATTGGCCTAATGTAGGGAGGACAGCAAATGGAAGTTCAGCTTCAGTGGATATCATCAAATTCAAGTTAAATTTCACAATCCAACCTTGTTGCTCTGTAGTTATTAGGAAAGCAATTGAGCTGGTTTGTACAGATGCTACCCCGAGTCTCTGTTCATGAATGAGTAGCTCCTTGGCTCTTACTCTAGGACCTAGGTGACTGAGAAGGGCATTCTTTCTCCTGGCCCCTGTCTTGTTGGATTCTGGCCAGTTATCCCTCCAGGTCCACTCACCAGCTCTCTCCCTTTCCCTCCCCCTTCCGCACCAGTGTCCACGGTGCAGTGCCCCAGCTTCAGCCACTATTCTGTGTGTACCAGCAGCTGCCCTGACACCTGCTCGGACCTGACCGCCTCTCAGAACTGTGCCACACCCTGCACCGAGGGCTGTGAGTGCAACGAGGGCTTTGTCCTCAGCACCAGCCAGTGTGTCCCACTGCACAAGTGCGGCTGCGATTTCGATGGCCACTACTACACCATGGGGGAGTTCTTCTGGGCCACGGCCAACTGCACAGTGCAGTGCCTGTGTGAGGAGGGAGGGGATGTCTACTGCTTCAACAAGACCTGCCGCAGTGGGGAGGTGTGCGCTGTGGAGGATGGCTACCAGGGCTGCTTCCCCAAACGCGAGACTGTGTGCCTGCTCAGCCAGAACCAGGTGCTGCACACCTTCGATGGCGCAGCCTATGCCTTCCCCTCTGAGTTCTCCTACACCCTCCTAAAGACCTGTCCTGAGCGTGCGGAGTACCTAGAGATAGATATCAACAAGAAGAAGCCTGACGCTGGACCAGCTTGGCTCCGGGGTCTTCGGATCCTGGTGGCTGACCAGGAGGTCAAGATAGGAGGAGCCGGGGCTTCGGAAGTCAAGGTAAGATGGCTGGCTCCCTTGAGGGCCTTCGGATGGATCTCACACAGTGAAGGAACTTGACCTTTGCAACTTTCTGCTTCTGCTGGTGAGTGGATTCTAGAAAGGAAATTGCTCCCAAATGGGAACATTTTCTAATGACCAACACTAAATAAGACTCTCGGGTGAAGAAATGGAGCAAAGCTAGAATATCTTGAATTAGACAGGTGGAGTGGGAATCACTTGCCCTTGCCCTAACAGCAAATGCTTACAGAATGCTAGCTGTGTGCCAAGCACTATTCTAAGCCCTTCAGAAGTAGCAGCACACTTCATCTTATGAAATAGACAGTATTATTACCCTTATTTTGTAGATGCAAACAAACAAACAAACAAACAAACAAAAAACCAGTGAGGCCCAGAGAGGTTAAGTAACTTCCTTCAGGGACACACAATCACAAAATGAGATTCAAGCCCAAGCAGCCCCTGGAATCTATGCTCTTACTGCTTGTGTTGTACTAATTCTGCTACCTGTAGATGGGACTACAGGTAATGTGGGGCAATGTAAGAGTGCCCCACCATCACCACACTGGCCTGGTCTAAAGTACTCATCATCAGGCATCCAGAGTCATAGATCATTAGTTATAGAAGAAATCTGGGGAGTCTTCTAGTGAACTCCTCATGTTCACATGAAGATCCCAAAGGGCTGAGTGCCCATAGCTAACTGAGGCATGGCTGGGTTATAGGAAGGGAATCTCTTTTTTCCCAAGCTATCATACATTTCATAGGCTCACGTGAATTCTGGTTTAGATAATAAACATTAACACAATATAGTCCAAGGAGACAAAAAAAATACTCATCCACCAACTAGAAGAGGGCTGTGTTCTCATTCTACTTGGCATATTGGCAGAGGTTAATATGCTAAAAGAATAGCAAGAGATAGATAGGTGGATGAACAGTTGGATAGTGAGATAAACTCTAAATGCCTAAGGGGGCTGGGACACAGGAAAATAAGAAACCAGAAAGGTGGGGAGGAAGGGGAGCTGTCTGCAAAACAAAGGGCCCCAAAAGAGATGCTGGACAGCAGGAGGAAGTCACATATCTAAGGCAATTTTTACTTACATTTCAAGTTTGGATTTTGGGGGGAGTGGGTGAGGGCTACATTAGAGTCTAGAACACACACAAGTAAAGAGCATCTGAGTTTCACAAGAAAGACACAAGCCCATGAAAACAATTGGTCTACCGTCTGTGGTTTCCATAGACCATCAGTTTCTTGATATTTCTTGAGGAGCTAGTCTCTGGAGAGCTATGGTTTTATTCTACAGTCTTGGAAACGGTGATCAGGTACTCCGTGTGTCTCCAGAATTGATGGCACTGCTTTGATTTTTCAGTTGAATGGTCAGGAAGTGGAATTACCTTTTTTCCATCCTTCGGGGAGGCTGGAGATTTATCGAAACAAAAATAGTACGACTGTGGAGTCCAAGGGCGTGGTGACTGTGCAGTACTCAGACGTGGGCCTGTTGTCCATCCGGCTGTCCACAACATACTTCAACTGCACTGGTGGTCTGTGCGGCTTCTTCAACGCCAACGCCAGTGACGAATTCTGCCTCCCGAATGGCAAGTGCACAGACAACCTGGCAGTGTTCTTGGAGAGCTGGACGACATTCGAAGAGATCTGCAATGGGGAGTGTGGAGACCTGCTGAAGGCCTGCAACAATGACTCAGAGCTGCTGAAGTTCTACCGGAGCCGCTCCAGGTGTGGCATCATCAATGACCCCTCCAACAGCTCCTTCCTGGAATGCCATGGGGTGGTCAATGTCACTGCCTACTACCGCACCTGCCTCTTCCGCCTGTGCCAGAGTGGGGGCAATGAGTCTGAACTCTGTGACTCAGTGGCACGGTATGCCAGCGCTTGCAAGAACGCTGATGTGGAGGTGGGTCCCTGGAGGACCTACGACTTCTGCCGTAAGTTGGGGCTGCTTCATGGGGAAGGAGACTGAGAAGTGGGGTTAGGAATGCACGCCAGTCACACTTTTTTACTTCAGGTTGAGGGGTTGGATGCAGGGCCTTCACACTACATCCCCAGCCTTTTTAAATTTTTTGCTTTATTTTTGAAGCAGGGTTTTCCTTAGTTGCTAAGTTTCCCAGGCTAGGCTTGAACTTGCCATTCTCTTACCTCAGCTCCCTAGAATGCTAGGTTTACACCATGACCAGCTCAGTTATATTTTCCTTCTTACTCAGAACTTGTCTTCCTAGCAAGACTGAGTTCCAGGGCTAAGTACAAGGTAACTCTTTCCTAGTCTAAAAGTAGGCCCATCACCCCAAACTAGACTGTTACTCACCATCATTCATTTCTCGTGACATAATACCTTTCCATCATAGGTCAGTTAGCCACCCTCTTGACTCACAGTTTTACCTAGCAGCAGGTACAAAAACCATGTCAAAGACTAGAACTCTCTGTGGTGGCTCCATACGTGCCCTTTTCCCTTGGCAGAGAAGGGCTCATTCACTGTGACGGGAAGTGATTGGTTGGGGAGTCTTTCAGGGTTTAGAGATTACTGCCACTCCCTGGGGCAAACCTGACAAGGGCTTTCAAATGCAGGCCATGTAGCTGGCTCTTCATTTTGTTCCCAGAGGGTCTGACCTTTCTTGGCAGGGCAGTGACTACTTGTAGTCATCAGAATGACCACTGGGAAGGCCTGACACAGAACACCCTTGATTATCAGCAGAAGTGCAGCAGGGAAGAGGAGTAAATGAGAAGGAGGACCCACACCCAGAGAAAGAACCATCTCCCCTGGACTTCAGCACACATACCTCTCCTGCCAGAGAGTTCAGTTCTAAGCCCGAATCAACCTTACCATTGAGATTCCATCCTCTGCTTCTGTTTAGCTCTCACCCATTTTCTTTCTTCTGAAGTTTAATTTTTTATTTTGAAATGATTTCAAAGCTACATAGAAGTTGCAAAAATATTTATCTATTACTTAGATTAACCTGTTGCTAAATATTTGTTCTCCCTCAATCCTTTCCATTTGAAAGTAAGTTGTATATTTCATGTATCTTGTATTAGCTTTCTGTCACTCTAACAAAATGCCTGAGATAATCAATTCATAAAGAGAAAAGGCTACACTGGGCAAGGTGGTACATGGATATAATCTATCACTATGAGAGGTTAAAACAGGAGGATCACAAGGTCAAGCCCAGCCTGGGCAACTTAGTGACTTACAGAGGCCCTGCCTCAAAAAGATATTTTTAAAAACCTGCTACATAGCCAGGGAGGACACACACACACACACACACACACACACACACACACACACACAGCACTGGAGATGTAAAAAGGCCCTAGATTCAGTCCCCAGTATGGGGCAGGGGGAGATTTATTTATTTTAGTTCATGGTTTCCAAGGTTTCAGTCCATGATTTGTTGGCCCCTTTAGTTTTATGCTTACAGTAGGGAACATTTGGAGTAGAAAAGCAATTCACTTCATAGCCAGGAAGAAAGAGGGTCTGGGATCCAACTATCTTCTTCAAGGTTACTCTCACAGTGACCAGAAGTCCTCCCAGTAGACCCCACCTCTAAAATGTTTCCACTGCCTCCCAATATCTCCAAGCTGGAGACTAAGCCTTTAAAACACAGGAACACTTAAAATCCAAACTATTGCACTCCTTTACCTATAAATCTTCAGTGTGTATTTCCTTAGAATAAGGACCCTTTCTTACATAACCACAGCAGTTATCAGCTTTGAGAAATTTAATGTTAATACAATAATTTTAACATCCAAATTCACATTTTGTCAGTTAACCTAGCAATGGCCTCATTTTTTGTGTGTATTTGCCTCAGTACAGATTGAGTTTAGGATCATATGCTGATGCATTTTATTGTCATCTCTCTTCAGTCTCCTTTAGTCTGGAACAATTCCTTAACTTTATCTCTTATGATCTTGGCATTATTGAAGAACTCTCCTACTTCAAACAGAACTGCCCTCCACTTGGATTTTGTGTTTCCTCATGAGCATGAGCTTCGCATCCGCATCCAGCCCTTCTCACAGGCCACACTGGGTTTCTGAGATCCCAGCACAAGGGGAGTCATACTCTGTCCATCCTTCCTCCTTGATGATGTAGACACTGATCCCCGGCCAGGGTGTATAGTCCCTATGGTTTCCCTTGGCAACCAACAAGTGAACTGGGGGGAGATGCTTTATGACTATACAAATATCCTGTTTTACTTTGAAATCCTCCTCCTCGATTCAGTGCCCATTGTTGATTTTTGTTTGTTTCAATCTCTTGCACAATGATTACTCACTGACAGTGTCCACCTGCAGTACTCTCTCCAGTTTTACCAGCCAGCAGTTGTAATTTTACTGTAAGCAAGAGGCTTCCCTCGTCCTTTATTACCTATTCATTGATCCATCCTTGTACTAACATTGCTTTCTACTTCTCTTTCACATCTTATCAGTGTGACATAGTTTCCTGTTTTTTAAAGTAGCTTATAATTCATATTATATTTTAAAAATTATTCTTGGTGTTAAAAATATTCCAAACTGGGCCTGTGGGATCCTCTTTAAACCACCTATGTCTTTTGCTATGTCTATGTCATGTTTTTGTTGTGTATGTGTGTGTGTGTGTGTATGTGTGTGTTTTAGTACTTTCTTACTTTCTGGTGTAACAAGATATTTCATATCCATATTGTACCTTCTCTGCTCCAGACTAGAATCAGCCATTACTACAAGAAACACTGATTCCTTTTGGTGGGGTATGTTATTAGAAACTAAGATCTGGGTGAGGGCTTTGCTCTTTGGGTGTCTTTGCTTTGACCCTTAGCACTTTCAGCAGTCGGAGGTCAGAACACACACGCACACATGCACACATGCACATGCACCCCTCCTGGGAAGTCCAATGAGCATGTGGAGGGTTTGATGGCTGTCATCTTAGAGGAGGGAAGTAGGTCCCTGCTGAGCCTTACCCATCCAGAGGAGGGACTGAGAGCAGATGCTCTGAATGCTAAAGATGGACATCTGGGAATATGCTTTTCATAAAGTCAACTACAGCAGGAAAGCTGCACTGTTTCTATTGACCAACACATCTAGTGAGACCTTGTAATACTTTCCCAAAGCTGCCTTTTAATGCACCTTTAGTATCCCCTTTGTCCTTATCTAATATGCTTTCTACTCCTGCTTTATGCCTAGTTTTCTAGTTGTATTTCATTCATGACACTGAGTTTCCCCCATACCAAATCTGCATCATGGCCAAGCCATGTCAGAGCCAGCCTTTCAGATGACTGACTCTTATGCAGCAGGGAGTGTTTCTGGTTTGTTAATGTATTGCACAGGGCACAGTCTGGTGGCACTGTGTATGCCAAGTTAGCCCAGCATGATGGAGACAGTCCCAGTCTTTTATTGGATTTGATGGTAGTTGAGAAGAGCTTCTCATCATGCCTCCTCCACACCCCAAAGCTGGAGGAAGCTCTAGTCTGTGCCTTTTTAGAGAGAGATTGGACAGAAGCAGCCACTTGGAACATGGCTTCTTTAGGTGGAAGGCCACTGTTCATACCTAAGACACTCCCAGGATGTCTCATCTAGATCCTGTGGCCTTGGGTTTGGCATGTTTGATTAATCAACTCTGCATGTACTAAGGGGTTAATATAGTTGAGGTCCTGCAGAAAGGAAATTGAACTGGGCAACAGCTACAAATCAGGAGCACCACTTTCTTTGAATCCAGAGAGAGAAAACCATTGCTTCTGGCTTCAGATGTTTTCATCCATCCTTCCCATTGGCAGAGCCAGGCTGCCCAATTAAGTAATTTCACAGAGTCATTTCAGGGGCTTGGGGAAGTTTTATGACTCCACGTCTGCATGCTCCAGACTTTCAGACAAATTCAGACAACACAATAAGTCATAAAGCAAGAGCCATTTAAATAAGTCATGTTATTTGCTATCACCATAAACCTGCAGTCAGTGTCATAACATTCATAATTTAGAGACAAATGTGAAAATCCTTGTATACAGGTATATATAATCAGTGCTGAACTAGCCTTCAACTCCAAAGCCATATGGTAGTACAGTCAACGGAAATGGAGGGAGTCCCTTAGCCTAGAGGGAAAACATGATTGGCCTTCAGTACACAGTGCAGAACAATTGTGTTGGTACTTGTGGGCAGAGCTATTAGTGCCATGCAATTTACTTCTCTGTAGTGTCCTTCATGCCCTTGGATTATAAAACACTATTAAGAAATGATGGCATAAGAGCCAGAGAAAGTTCTAAAGGTGGAACCTATTTTCCAAGGAGATAGTGGGGAACTTCCAGGCTTTAAACTACATGAACTTGTAGGTAGACTTCTTTTGTGTCCCTGGATTCTTTTCCTGCCCCAGTCAAGTTGTAATAAACAGAGAGAAGTAGGATGCTGACCTAGAACTCTGTGAAGAGTTCTAGTAAAGAGTGAAGAGTAAATGTTACTTGGTGTGGCGTGCTTTGTGAATCAGAGACTTGAGCTAAGTCTCTTCCTTCCTTAGAAGGAAGGCTTCTAAGAAGTACAGTTTGACACAGATGAGATGGCTGGGTGGAATTTGGTTTTGTAGAGAACTGTCTAGGCAGGGAAGAGAGTGTGTGTAAAGGCAGTGGGGGGTGACCGTGTACACAGGGGTAGGCTAGAGGGTGCTGGAGTAAAAAATTAAAGACAAAGATGTTGGACAGGGCCGGGGATTTAGCTCAGCGGTTCGGTGGCCTGCCTTGCAAGCGCAAGGACCCGAGTTCAATCCCCGGTACCAAAAAAAAAACAAACAAGATGTTGGACCAATCTGTAGAGTAAAAAATACCTACATGGAGCCTATCTGTGTAAGAAAAGGATGTGCAAAGAGAGAAAGCTTTCAATTAGAAATAGTCATGCCGCGGATAAACCTCATTGGCTATGATACTGCCACTGTGCAAAGCTAGAAAGGATATACTATGTATTGAGATTCTTTTGTGGAATGGATATATTAAATTATTAGTCCTCAGAACAATCCTATTAGGTAAGTATGGCCCTTATTTAACAAAAGAAGAAGCCAAAGCTTAGAGACATTAACAAGCCAGCATTAAGAGAGCAGCATCCCCAGGTTTCTATGGCTTCAATCATGTTTTCCTTCTAGCTCTCCACACTTTCTCTCCAGAGTCTAAGTCAGGAGACCTGGATTTTAATCTCTCTCTAGTTCTTACTAGTTAGATAAATGACATCATTGCACTTCAATTTCCTCATCTATTATAGGAATGGTAAGATTAGCCTTACTGTCCAGGTGACTGATATAAGGCACACAGTGGGCATAGGATGGTGGTTGGCTGATAGAAGTTGCTCGATACTGGCTTGTAGTCTCAGACTCTTCTACGTGACATAAGAAGAGCTGGTGTGTGAGGTGTTCACTGGGCTTCTGACTGCCCCAAATGAGGGTGACAATGGTGCTGGTCACAGGGCATTCACTGGACCTACTGTGTGAACAAATAGGAACTATAAATATGCACACATGTGTGCACATGCACTTCTGTTTCTGACCTCTGTCTTCTGTTTGTACCATCAGCTTTGGAATGCCCAGAGAACAGCCATTTCGAGGAATGCATGACATGTACTGAGACCTGTGAGACCCTGGCCCTGGGCCCCATCTGTGTAGATAGCTGCTCCGAGGGATGTCAGTGTGATGAGGGCTACGCCCTGCAAGGCAACCAGTGTGTCACCCGAAGTGAGTGTGGCTGTAACTTCGAGGGGCACCAACTTACCACCAATGAGACCTTCTGGGTGGACCAGGACTGCCAGATCTTCTGCTACTGCAATGGCACAGATAACAGTGTCCACTGTGAGACCATCCCCTGCAAGGATGATGAATATTGCATGGACGGGGGCGGCCTATACTATTGCCAGCCCCGCACTGATGCCTCCTGCATCATCTCGGGCTATGGCCACTACCTCACCTTTGATGGCTACCCCTTCGACTTCCAGACCAGCTGTCCACTCATCTTGTGTACCACAGGAAGCAGGCCGAGCTCAGACTCTATCCCCAAGTTTATCGTGACAGCCAAGAATGAGGACCGGGACCCATCCCTGGCCTTGTGGGTCAAACAAGTGGACGTGACTGTGTTTGGCTACAACATTGTAGTTCACCGGGCCTACAAGCACACTGTGCTGGTGAGTGACACAGGTCACCCTTGAGAAGGGAGTGATGAGGGTGCTGGTCAGTAAGACAGGCCGCAGCTATATCAGGCTGGCCCAGAATCCAAAGGAAATCAAAGCATTGCAGAGCAGAGGATGACTTTGGAAAATTTCTGTCACTTTATCATACAGTTTAGGAAATGGAAGCTCAGAGAAAAAGGATTTGATCAAGACACAGGCACCAAATTGGGGGCTGAGCAACCTCTAAAAATGTACCTTTCAAGACATAGCAGGATATATTGGAGCAAGCACAGATCTAGATTTCATCCAAGCTTGGTGACCACTGAGTGACCTTGACTGGTCCCTTAGCCCAGCTCTGCCATTCATCTGTAAGAGGCTTCATGCCTCACCCAGACTAGGCCTCTCTGGGTGGTACTGTTGTTACCCCTTTTCTTATGTGAAGAATGATATTTGTCTGCTCTGGCCTCCCTCACCAGTTCAAGGCTCCCCCTGGGCTCCCAGGGCCTCTATAGTGGTTAAGAGTCTTGCTCATTTCTGGAGCACCAAAGTAGTCTCCTGCAATCTCTTTACTCACTTGGGATTTAGGGCTCTCTTTCTACCTTTTCCTTCTTTATCACACAAAGAACCTTCCTTCTGTCATGAAGACAAAGAACAGTAGGGCTGAAGAGTTCGGAGCACTCCTTTAATAGCTTGATGTGGGGATTGCCCAGCCAAGCCCTTCTTCTCCACTGTCTATCTAAGCACGATGCAAACCACTAACAAGCAAACCAGCAGCCTCTTTGGCATTTTGGAGCAGATGAGTCAGGTGTTAGCCTTCTTGACTTCATCCTCACTGGTCTGTGTCATAACTCACCTGTCCCAAAGGGGACTCCTTCTCATCTTTAAAATCTGAGATAAACTGAACTAAACCAACTACTCGGAGCTGGACTTCCTGGTGCAACTCTACTGATTTCTTTCCTTCTTTGGGATTTGCTTAACTTTCCCCGACAAAGAGAGGATCCCAGATTCTTGAAATGTCTTCCTTTACATTTTTTGGAAAATCTTCCTTCTTTACATCTAAATAGTAGTTTCATTATCCATTTCTTCCTCCCTTTCTTTGAATCTAAATCCCAATGTTTTCCTTTATGAGTCTCATAGAAACTTATTCCTGTATCCATTATTGTACTAATCAGAATTTTTTTCTTATCTAATTCCTTCAGTCCCAGCCATGGGCTTCTTAAGGATAGGAACCACATCTAATTCACCTTTATGTTGAATGAGCACACAGTGCCTTGCACATAGTGACATTCAAAACACTTGTCAAATGAACAAATGAGGTGATGTAATAACCCTTGCTTCCAAAGTTTATGTGTTTCCTTTTGCTCCTGGTTATTCTTTGGCAATCTGAGAGATTAAGTAGGCCAATGCAGCTAGTTAGGAATGTATCCCGAGACTTGGCGTTTTTGCCACAAAAGATTTCCAGCAGATGCCTGAATAATTGAATCTGCCCATTATAATATCTTCCCTTGATTCCATTTTCATCATAGGTTAAAGTGAGCATGTCAATCATGTTGTCCATGAGGCTTGCATCTTGCTTGTCCTTTCCTCCTTTTCCTGATAGATTTCTAGCCTTAGGCATATACATTTTCATGTAATTATATATCTCCTTGACGTTAACCACCCTTCCATCTTTTTGTGATTTTTTTCCTTATATTTTAAGATATTATCTGTTCATAGCTCCTATACCCCCTGCTTTATTATGAATTATATTTCTGCCTTGTATTCCATGTTCTCAGCTTTTATGTGTATGGATATCTGAGTTCGTAATTGTATTTTCTGACCTCTTCCTAGTTGTTTGCATATAGACCATGGGATTCTCAAGACTTTTAATTCTTTTCATATAGTAAGTGATTCTCTCCTCTTCCTAGTAACTGATTCCTCACTCTCTCTCTATTTCCCTTTCCTTTCCTTTCACTTCAGGTTTAAGCACCTAACAGGTTAATCATGTCGAGTATAGACCTTGCTCTGATCTCATGAGATGCACTTATTGCTAAAGTCAAGAACCACAGAAATTACACAGCTGTTTTATTCCTCTTATAGACAAATGCAAAATGAGGTGTGTATTCATTTCTTAAGGCTGCTGTAAAAAAACTCCATGACCTGGATGTCTTCAAACAACAGAAATTTATTCTCTCACAGTCCTGGTGGCTGGAAGTTCAAACTCAAGGTGATGGCAGGGTCATGCTTTCTGTGAGTGAAGAATTTGACCATGCCTCTGTCCTAGTTTCTGTGGTTGAAGGCAATGTTCAGTGTTCTTTGCCTCATGAGCGCATAACTCCAGTCTGTACCTCGATCTTCATGTGCCTTCGTTCTTCTCTGTCCTGTTTCTATGTGTCCACATATTCCTTTCTTTTTAAGAATACCAGTCATTGGAATTAGGGCCCACTTTATTATCCAGTTGACCTTGTCTTAATTTATTACATCTATAGATACTTTACTTCCAAATAAGTTACAGTCACACGTACTATATGTCTGGGTGTTTCTTTTTGAGGACACAGTTCCACCCATACCATAGGTCAATTAGAGAGAGATTGGCATAGAGAAGTAATAGATTAAAGGGACACAAGGACTCTTTGCCCTTTTTTCTGTCACCTAAAAGTCTGAAGTACCTCAAATGGGAACAGAAAGGACAGCTTACAGCCCCCAACAAGAAGACCAAGTTCACAGTGCACAGAAGGTTCTTTTCTTAGGGGACCGGTATGATGGATTTAGCAGTTACTTTGAATTATTAATATGCATTACAGGATCTGCTTATTCAATGATTTGCATTTGTTTTCCCATGATGTTATTATTAGTCACCAACTCTTCCTGAGCTTTAAGAATAATGGCCATCACGATGACAGTGTGAAATGAAATGCAGGACAAAACAGCCCAGCATCACAGGTGACTGCTGGTGCTCTCAGAAATGAGGGGTGAATAGCAGTGACTCCTTGGGACATTAGACGCATTCTATGACTCTGACTTTTCTCTGCATTAAACAACTCCATGAGAAATGGGAAAATCTACTAAGCAAAAGAGGCTAGAAATAAATATGCTATCTATAGACTAGGCAGAGTGACAGGAATAAGGGCAGAGGTGAGCCACTCGGGCACTGCAGCAACCCAGGCTCAGCTGTCTACAACCAGAGCTGAAGAGGGGGCCTCCTGCCTGCCAACAAGCTCAGGCTCCAGCACAACCACATCCTCCAAGGTCCAGGACAACAGGGAGGGTTATGGGGTCTCAAAGCCTGTTCCTTTTCATTTATTACCGGTCTGCTGGCCATCAGTAAAGAGGGAGGTTTTGAGAATTGCTGTAGTCCAGTTTAGCTCAATAAGCTTATACTGATGCCCATTGTATTGTTCCAAGAAACAAAAATTTCTTAAAAAGTGGTATCAAACATGAAAATGAACAAAGAAGAATCAAATAGTTTGTCCTAAGAGACCTCAAAGTCTAGTGGAGAGATGGGCCTGTTAACAGCTAATGCCAGTGTAACATGAAGTGTTGTAAAAATGTTCCTCGTGGAGGGCCTTGAGCACACATGGGAGAGGTTGCCTCAACCAGCCTGGAGCTTTAGGGAGGCTTCGTGGAAGAGGTGACCCAGGTCTGACACCTGAAAGGAGTACATGTGTCAGACTGAGAATGAGATAAAAGCATCCAGGGAGAGGAAATACCAGCATGGATCCAAGGAATAGCAGTGCAGGGTATGAGGACTGAAGAGGCTGTAGAGGGAAATCAGGATAAGTTGTTTAAAGGAAAACTCCACTGAAGCTTAATAAGTGATCTTATTTCCAATACAATCATCCACAGCTTCTGTACCCATAGATGCAAAATGGAAAATATGTACACCCATACACAGTTAAAACTATCTATACTGAACAGGTACATAATTGTGTGGTCATTATTCCCAAATAACACAGAAAAACCCTACTTACATAATGTTTACATTGCATTAGTCACTGTAAGACAGTAACCTAGATGTGACTTAAAGTGTACAGGAGGATGTGTGTAGGTTCTGTGCAAATATGACACCTTCCTATACAAAGGACCTCAGGGTGCTCAGAGCCTGGTACCTGCAGGGTCCTGAAACCAATCCCCTATGGACACTGAGGGATGACTTTACTTAAGTATCTGGAGCACATCTGTCCACACTCATCCTATGCATTCTTGTCCTTCTGTGCATCGTCCTCCTCTACCTGTCCAGCTCTGTTGCCATACCAACCTCTCCTTTCCTCTGACCTTCTCTCCCTCTGCTTTCTCTCTCTTTCTCTCTGTCTGCTTTACCTCCCTCTGTCTCTTTTCTCCCTCTCCCCCCATCTTGTGGTAAAAAATGGAGTCGGGGGAGAGATTCAGGGCAGTGGAGTGTGTTGGAGGCAGCATTGGCAGCATTCATAGGGCATCAGAGACAGAGAAATACCAAGCCTGTTGGAGTCAGGGATGTGCCTTTCTCAGGGTTCTCCTCAGCAGTGACGGAATTCATAAGCCTTAGGATTTGATCCCATTATTTTGCCTCTCTGTGTTATTGCCTCCTGTGTGACACCAGGTAGCCAAGAGTTCAGCTCACAGGAAAAGCAGGCCAGCACACATCAGCCTTTGAATATACTGGTTTTGCTTTCCTGATTGTGAGTCTTCTGGGAGGACCAGGGTCTTCAAAGCCCCTGGATCCCTGAGTGATTTCTCCTGTCTATGTTCTGCGGTTGCACAGGGCCATCTCATTCTGTCTCTGCATCTCCTGGTTGAGAAAGCTGTGCTTATCAGCACACTCTCCCATCTTCCAGGCACCCAGAGTCCAGTCTTAATGATTCCTCCTTGCATCCTGTGCCCTATTTTCCAGGTGCAGAAAATGAGGCATCTCCTTTTTCTACCACAGCTACTCTCCCAGCCATCTTGGCTGTCTGTAACTCCCAGCCTCTCCTTGGTCTTCAACCTTGTACTTTCTACAGGATGCTTTGCTTCAACCTATAAACATGCTCACTCTAAAACAAGACTGGCTCTCAGCCTCTTCTAGCTGCTCTCCAGTGTCTCTTCTCCCTTCCTGGTCAAACTTCTGCATCTCTGTCTCCTATTTGCTATTTTATTTGTTGTTAGTTTCTGTGATCTGACATTGAGCTTAGTCATTCTACTTAACTGCTCTTACTAAGATCACAAATGACAAAAAAATGAATGGGTATGTTTCAGGGTTTATGACATGGCCTCTTTGCTGTGCGTGACCCTGCATATGAGGCCCTCCGTCCTCTCCATCTTCAAATTCATCTTCTGTAGCTCTCAAGGCCACATTTTATGTTCCAGCAGCACTAAATCATGGCAATTCTTTGCCTCTGTTAGGGTTTCCCCCTCTCATCTGGGCTTTTGCTGGGGCTGTGCCCTTTCCTTGGACTCACTTTCATTTCTCTTGAATGAATCAACCCTTGTTTCTCCTTTGAGACCAGGTGTGAGTGTTGTCTCTGAAGATCTACCTGAGTCACTTCCCAGGCTGTCTGGTGCTTGTACAGCTATTCACACCTTTATCATTAGATGATATTATCATCAGATCTCATTATCTGTGTATGTTCTTGTCTCTGCTACATGACAATGAGCACCTAGAGAAAAGGCCCTATACTTAATCCAGCATAGCACAATTCCTGGCATAGAGTAGTGTCAGATTGATGTCTGTTGGATGAATGACCACATTCTGCTCTGATGAATATTCACAGAAGAGGAGGTTGCGCTGAGCGTTGAAAGGTAGGCATTGCCCTGAGGAAAGGTGTCAGGGCAAAGGCCTCCTGGCTGCCTTAAGGCATGTTCCCAAGCAGCAAGATTTGAGTTGGGTCTTGGGAAAAGGAAGGAAACATCACCAGAAGAAGCTTAACAAGGATGCATTCTAAACTAGAGACCAGCATCTGTCTGGGCTACTAGAAGCTCTAAACATGACCCATAGCATAGAATTGGTCCCCAGTATTGATCAGTCACGGTCCAGGGTGGGCAGTTGGAGGGAGGGCTCACAACCCCCAATAAAGCTCCCCTTTGGCCAAGGCCGGCTGAGTTATCATTAGTCCAATCACAGTGACTCGGGATTGGGGGCCCTGGGAAGGACACAGGAGGTATCCATCACACTTGAGGCACAGGAAATGGTGGGACAGGATATCACACCTTGGTCCATTTAGTAAAGTGCACACTGTAGGGTGGAGCTGGAGTGGAAGAAACAAGTGAGCTAGCTCAGAGAGGCTGGACCAGCTGCTGAAGGACCCAGGGGGATTTGCTAAGCATGTCAGACACTACTCAAGTCCTGGAGGGGATTTTAAGTATTGATTCCATTGCTTCCAATTGCATTTTTAAAATGCTAGCAGGGAGGGAATGAGTGAGTGAAGGAGAGGGGCAAGCCAGGAGCCAAGGAGATAAGTGAGGAGTAATTCAGTCATCAAGGTGAAAGATGACGAATCTGAACTAAAGCAGGAGCTGTGGGGCTGGAGAATCATCTGGAAGAATGATAAAGGAGATTAGGGGGAAGGATTTCTAGTCAGAGAGCACTCACAATACCCACCTCTCTGCAAGGAAGACCTATTTGGCTGCCATGAGGTGTTGCAAATCTGTATTTTCCACCCTACTCTAACCCAGCCACAGGCTATAGGATGTGTCTCATCTAAATCAGATTAGTTCAAGGAAGAAGTAGTCTTGGAGTTTAGTCTGAATTTAGAAATATGTGAAGGAAATATTTGTCAAGTGGCCCCTTGCTCCCATGGCATCATGTGTGTGTGCTTGGGGGTCACGAGAGAAGGTGCACCCAAAAATCTATGAAATGTGTTTCCTGCCCTCAGGCTGCTCATAATCTTACAGGTGGGACAGAAGCATGTGACTGTCCGACTGTGTGGTGTGCTACAGTGGCAGTGAACACATACTCGCTCTTAGCCCAAAGAAGAGAAGAATATGAGAGAGGTGTAAATAATATGATCTGCTCTCCTAGGCAAGGGAGTGATTAATCCTGGCCATCGCCTTGGACTCAGAAAACTCTGCTTTATAGGAGAGGAGTCAGTGGCACAGGGTCTGGAGGGTGAGAGGGATACTGACAAGTAAAGACTGGCTTGCCTGGCAGAAGGACCAGCAAAGTGAAGTCATTCTCCAAGAAAGAAAAATCCCAAAGGCATTAATAAATCGGGGCTTGCCTAACTAAAACAAATCCACAGTACAGCTGGAAATAGAAACACAGGAATTCTAGGCTTTGGTATTGTAGTCTAAACTTTAATTGAATTCTTATTACCCTTTCATTACCTTGGAGGGAGCAGTTTGAATTCCTCGGAGAAAATAGTGCTATATAAACAGAAAGCACTGAAATAAATAGGTATATTAATGTACAGAGGGTAGTCATTTAAGTTTATTCAAACCCTAATAATAATAGTTGACTGACATAAACAACACTGTACTCATAGCTGCATGCAACCTGTCCCAGATCCCTTTGGGGGCTTGTCTTTCTAATCAGACTAATCAGTAGAGCTGGGAAACCTCTGTATTTTTCTACAATGGCACTGGGCCAGATGTATTTTCCCACCTTTGCTCTTTCTTTAACAGGTCAACAATGAACGGCTCTATCTGCCCCTGAAGTTGGGGCAAGGGAAAATAAACATCTTTTCCTTTGGCTTCCATGTGGTGGTGGAAACTGACTTTGGCTTAAAGGTTGTGTATGACTGGAAGACCTTCCTATCCATCACAGTTCCTCGGAGCATGCAAAACAGCACTAATGGCCTGTGTGGTCGCTACAATGGCAACCCAGATGATGACCTGGAGATGCCCATGGGTCTGCTTGCACTGAGTATCAGTGAGTTTGGGCAGAGCTGGTTGAAGAGGGACACCTTCTGCCAGGTGGGCTGTGGAGACCGCTGTCCATCCTGTGCCAAGGTTGATGGTTTCTCTAAGGTACAGCAGCTGTGCAGCCTGATCTCCAACCAGAACGCTGGCTTCTCCAAGTGCCACAGCAAAGTCAACCCTACCTTCTTCTATAAGAACTGCCTGTTCGACTCGTGCATTGATGGGGGTGCAGTGCAGACTGCCTGTAGCTGGTTGCAGAACTATGCTAGCACCTGCCAGACTCAGGGAATCGCAGTGACCGGCTGGAGGAACTACACATCCTGCTGTGAGTCCTTCTCATCTCTCTTTGTAGCTTCTCATCATTCATTATTGGTGTGGGAGGCCAGTTTCCAACTCTATAAACATTATAGTAAATTGAGTAGAGTGATGGAGGAATATGCACTTTGGAATTGAATTTATTATTAGAAACGGAATATGTAACCTCCCAAGAGCCTCCATTTCCTTATCTGTACAATGGGATTAATGCCACTTATTTTAAGGATTTCTCGGGAGGATAGAATATGATCTTGTATATAAACATAGAGCACCATAGTAGCTCTTGGATTCAACAAGTGCCCCAAAAATATTAACCATAGACTAATCAGGGGAGAGTTAGCCAGTTGGTTAATTTTCTGATTTATTTTAGAACCTCATGTGTCCATCACTGTATGATAACTTTCATGCTTTCTCTAAGTGGGCCATTCTAATTGATTTGTATCTGGCATGTTCTAATCCTTGTGCTTGTGAAACATAGCAGAATGTTGAGAGTATTAGATGTGAAATTAGAACTCCTGGATTCTGCCTTGAGTCTGTCCTTCAGGATCTGTGAGACCTTGGAGCAACCCACTCTTGCTCTCTGGTGCTCAGTTTCCCCCTATGAAAAGCAAGGATAATGCAGCCTATGACATTTATGCTACAGAAATGTCAAGAGGGTCAACTTTGGTAATTGGAATACCAGCACATGCAGTGCATGCTAAGTGCTGTGGTTATATTAATGGCTTGCTCTGAGCCAAACACAGTGCAACAACACTTTAGCAACATTATCCCATTTATTCTTTTCAATAACCCAATTAGGCAAAGAGAAATTGAGACTCAGAGGAGTTAAATAACTTGCTTAAGCACATAAAATCTCTGTGGCAAAGTCAGGACTTGATCTTCTAACCCCAAAGCTATACACTATAACAGTGCACGGTGTCCTGAGATATTTGCCTATATTTAGCATGTGCAAACAGGAAGAGGTCAGGAGGATAAACCACTGTTGGTCTTTGGCTAACCCTCCATGGTCTTTTTTCCCTTCTCAATCTCATTAACCTTAGCAAATTTCTTTTAGCAAGTTCTGACTGTACAAAAAGGCTGCAAACTGATGCTGAATGCCCCGAGCTCTAAATAAGGTACCCAGCGGGATTCTCAGAAACTAAAATTCCATTTTCCTCTAGGAAAGGGGAAATTTGGATGAAAAATCAGAAATAGTTTTATGGCTTAATGTCCACACAGTCAGTTTACAATCCACATGTGATCACGGGATTCATGGCAAGTGTGGAGGAGAATTGGGAAAACAGAGAAGGGAGGGATGGGGGAGATGCCAGTACCATTTTATCCAGGCTTAGTCCTGAGTGAGGGAGGTACTAGTAGGAGTGACTGCTAGAAAAACTGGCCCCTGGTGTCTTTAAAAAGCCTGGTCTGGATAGATCCCCAGTGCTCCTAGAGATTTATTGGGGTAGCACAATAGGAGTAGAGGGCTTCCTCTAAATCTGAAAACCAGGCTTTGGACCCGCAGACCTAAAAGTACAGGACAAAAAAATAGGTTTGGAATGGGAGATTCAACCTGTTTCTTCTTGAAACCTATACAGAGGGCTCCCCCTTCACTGGTAGCCACAAGTGGTGATGTACTGCTCTCCGGGGAGACTAGGATCAGAGGCATCATGGATGCCAAAAACCATTGTTTCCAATTATAATGAACAGGCAAATGCATTCATGGGGCAAATGCCAGGAATTCTCACCTCAACTAATGGGCCTTGATTTTTGTCACTCCTGGGAAGGAAAGGAAATATTCAACAGGCCTAATAACCTTTCCTCCAAGGAAGATCTCCCCATCCTTGTGGAGTCTGGCTGGTGATAAAGGATATGAAGATAAAGGATATATTCTTCTTCTGTCCTGCCTACCAGTTTAACAATGCACTTTCCTCTCCCGCAAATGTTGGTTGCCTCACTGTGCATTAGCTAAAGTAGTCCTGGGAGCTCTATCCAGGGGATTCAGCCTGCCTCACCCTCAGGTCCCTTCCCTACTGTAGACCAGCTGTCTCTAGCATGACCCAGGCTGAGGCATCAGGTAACTAAGAAAGGTTTCCATCACAAGGCCCTTTTGACCTTCCTTTGCTCCGGCATTTCAGAATGGGGAGTTGCTGGTCATGAATGGCAAAAATAAAAGCTAAGAGAACAAGTACATACTTTGAAGATGGTGTGTGAGTTGAGGGTGGGGGCAAAGTGTAGTTGGAGGCTGCTTAGTTTTCCATTTTGAATTCCAGAAAGAGAGAAATTCTGTAAGATATTGAACCCTACATCAGTCATCCAACAGACAGCCTGGCCTGAACATGATCATTTGTAACTATATTTGAAGTGACTTTGACCTTGGGGGGTCAGGGGTAGGACTGACACACCTCATCATTCTACTAAAAGTCCATTTCAACACATGTTGAGACATGAAAAATGGTGTTTTCAGGAGAAAAAGAGTCTAACCACAATGTCATTAAACTTGTGTTTTATTGGTAACAAGGTAGAATGCCAATGTTTTTCAATGATTTGGCCATTCCTATCAATGAGATAATTTATTACCCAATTACTTTATTTGTAAATGCACTGGAAAACCTCTTAACACAAGTTGAACAAATAGGCTGAGAGGGAGAACGGGAGGTAAATTGCCTTAATTACTAACCCCTTCTTAAAATTTCTTCAGCTGAGACTTTCATTCTGCCAGTCCTGTATAAGGGACTCAAAGTAGAATAGTTAGAGAAACAAATAATAACTCAATAAACAGCGGTTCCTTAGTTGTTACTCTGTGTCTAATCCTGTTGTGGTTGAGAAGTGTGAACTGACTCCTTCACTCCTCACCCTGACTCCCTATGGCAGGGTCCAGGAATGATTCTGTTCCCATGTAGAGGAAGCTGAGAAACAACCCTTTTCCCAAGGAAGGAGCATTGGGTGAATGGGAAAATGGCTCCCGTGGGCAATGCTGTCTCTCTGATTCTGCGCACCAGCACTTGATGTATGGGAGGTGGTCAATCAAGGGCAATGATCATTATTCTTTTCCATGTTTATCAAAAGCACCTTTTGCTACTTCAGGGTCCTGGATTCAGTGTTGGACAACTAGAGTTTTTCTTATCTCTCTGCCTATCCCATAAATTCTGTTGAATAATTAAAAAAAAATACCTGCTACAATGACTGTTACCACCATCCATAGCAGAAGTTATTACTGAAAGTACCAGGCACTTTGTCCCTCATGGGAAGAAAAAGCAAAGTATAACGAACTTTACAAATTGCATCTCATTTTATCTCCACGACACTTGATGAAGAAACAGTACCATCTCCACCTTACAGGTGAGAATACAGAGGTTTGGAGAGAGTGAGGAACATGCCCAAGGGAACACTGCTAGATAGTGGCAGACTTGGGGTCATACACAGCGCTGACCCCAAAGCCTTTGTCTGTCCCATTGTGTTAGATGCCTTCTCAGGGGGTCCATCCATGCTTCTGTCCCCCTGGGTAACATGTGCTATAGCTGTCTACTAGCCAAAGGAAAAGACATGCTCTTGTTCATGGTCACATCTAGGCATAGAGCACATTTATCACACACAGTTTTGGGGACTTCATTGACGGGGAGAAGAAGGCAACAAGCCAGAATGCAGAACCTAAAAATTTGCTTCTGAGAGTCAAATGTCTATTAACCATTCATCGTGTTCTCAGCATTGTTTTGGGTGTCATGGAAGAATCTAAAGTAAAAAATAAGGAGTTTATAGTCTCACTGAAGAAATGGGATTTATTTGAAAGACGTAAGAGGACAATGAGCATATTTCCAGATATTCACATGTATTGTGGAGCTTCCATCACTGTTAATTCATGTGTGTGAACAAGTCAAATGAAACAAGTTAAATAATAAAAATACAAATTGTTACTGGCATATGAGTAGGAAGACCAGCCACTGAAAAGATGACAGTGACCAGAAATAGGCCTAGATACTAAAGGGAAATTAGTGTATAACAAAACTAGCACTTTAAATCATTGGAGGAAATGTATCATTTAACAAATTATAACAGGATAAGGGACAAATTTATTCTTCCTTCATTCCTCATTGCAAAATAAAATCCAAAAAGAGCAAAGATTAAAAATTTAATGTAAAAATTTGAATTATAAAAGTAGAAGAAAACAAAGGAGTTCTGGGGTTTTTTGTTTGTTTGTTTTGTAATCTTGCAGTAGAGAGGATCTTTCTAAGCAAAACACTCAAGGCTGTGAGAGAAAACTTGATAAATTTAACCATATTAAAATTTTATATCTCTACATGGCAAAAACCTAATCAAAACTAAAAGAAAAACCAAATTTTTCTAAAAAGCAAAGTAAAATGATAAATATTTTATAACACATATGACACATAAAGTTTATTTTTAATTTATAAAGCACATTTGTAATTTAATTAAAAAATTCCAACAACACAAAATATGCAAGTGATTTGAAAAGGCAATTCACAGCAAAAGACAAATAAATGGCGTATAAGCAAATGGAAAGATGATCAGCCTCACAAAGAAATGCAAACTAAATATGCATAGAGCAGATGCAGCGTTTTCTACCTTTCATATTTCTAGAAATCAGAAAATTTGGTCATAAGCAATTAGTGAAGAAGTGGGCAAACAAACTCCCTCATTAGCCCTTGTAGGACTGCCTCAGAGGCATGTGTCAAAGATTTACCTAGCTGGGGGCAGGGCTGTGGTTATATGGTACTGGGCTCACCTGGCAAGCATGAGGCCCTGGCTTTAATTCCCAGCATTACAAAAATAAAACAAACTAAATGTACTTACCTTTAAACTCAGAAGTTCCACTTCTAGGAACTTGTTCTGAAAGCTCACTTATGAAGGCAGAAATGTAGTGCAGTGGAACTCACAGCCTCATCACCTTCAGCACATAAAATACACACACCATGCAACAGTGCAAAAACCATGATTCAACACTAAACGGAAGAAAGAATGTCATGAAAAATCATTGAGCAGAAAGGTTTGTCAACTGTGTTCTGATTTATGTAAAAAGAAAAGTAGATATAAGGTGCACATACATGCTTGCATAGGCATAGAATATTTCTGGAAGAATTATTATAATTCGCTATCAGAGGTTGCCTTTTTTTTGTACTTTGCATTTTCTAGCACATAGAGATATTACCTTTTGCACTGTGTTTTTAAAATTATATATATAGTATAGCATCACAGTGGTTATATGAATGTATAGATGTGTTAAAATTCATAGATCTGTGTATTCCAAAAGTGCATTTTATCACTAGATAGATAAGCCCCCAGATACACACTATATGTTACTGTATAGAGTGTTAGTTTCCATGTAATTGTACTTATAGTATATATTAGTATATTAGCATCTATAAAATTGCTGTATGAGCAAACCAATCTATTGAACATCTAGGTGCCTGGCGGTGTTTGAAGCATTAAAACTCATTTAATCCCTTGCAACCAGGCATGAAGTAAATGCTTCTGGTATCTGCATCTTATAGACAAGGAAGCTGAGGCACAGGCAGCCTAAATGACCCACCTGGTTCACTGACCAGAGCCTGTTTACTTCCCTGAAACATTGACTGCCTTCCATAAATGCACCTAGCTTTATTTAAAAAACTGTAGAACACAATCAATGTGAGTCAGTTTGCACACTTGCACATATACTCACACAACACACAATGCATGTTTGCCTCATGAGGCTCAAGGATCTACTGTGGATCAGCTACTGGTTTTAAAGAAATGTTGTGTGGAAGTTCTGAAGTGAAGATGACTTGGCATTGGTCCAGAAGGAGGGAGTCATTTGGAGGAGGTTCCAGATGGGGCTTGAAGAATGGGGAATTGGGACTGGTTGAGAGGACAGAGTAAAGGCGTGAAATAGAGAGATCTGTGTGAGTGGAGACCTCAGTGCAGGTGTAGGTGATGTGTGTAACTGCAGGGAGTTCCATGTGGAGAGATGGATTTAAGGTGGCTGGTAATGAAGGTCTCAGAAACCAGGGCTGAAGAATCTTAGGATGAAGATTACGGGAGGAGGCTCCAGCAACTTCCCTCTGCCCACTGGCCCATTATGTGAGCCATAGTGAGTCACAGAGGCTTTCAAGAAGTTGTTTATGTGGTATATTACATTTATTAATCTGCATACAAACTACCCTTACATTCCTGGAGTACAAATAACTTGATCTTGGTGTTGAGAACTTTTAAATATATCCTTTAATTTAGTTTTCATTTTATTAGGGATTTTTGCACCTGTGTCCCTCAAAGATATTAATCTACAGTTTTGTTTCTGTTGTGTCTTTTTCATGTTTTAGCATCGGGAAGATGCATTATAGAATGAGTTGAAGTGTTTCTTCCCTCTAAATTGCATGAAATATTTTGAGAAGCATTGGAGTTAGTTCTTCTTTAAAAGTCATCTTGTCCTGGGCTTTACTTTGTTGGAAAATATTTTATTACAACTTCAACCTTATTATTTGTAATTTAGCTGTGGGTTCTTATATCCTCTTGGATCAGTTTTGGAAGCTTGTGACTAGAAGCATATCCATTTCTTCTAGATTAATATTCCCTAGTAATCCTCTGGATTTCAGTGCTGTCTGTTGCAACAGTCCCCTTTTTATCTCTAATTGTATGGATTGGGTCTTCTCTCTTTCTTTTGATTAGTTTGGGTAAGAGTTTATCAATCATGTTTATCCTTTCAAAGAACCACCTCTTTGTTTCATAGATCCTGTGAATTTTTTCTTTTAGTATCTATTGCATAAGTGTCAACTTTCTTCTGTTGGGGTTGTTTTTGTTTTTCTAAGACCTTGAGATCCGTGATTAGGTTATTTGATATATCTCTTTTTTAATGTAGGTACTTATAGATATAAGTTTAGAACTGCCTTTACTAATTCTAGATTTTGGCATGTTGTATTTCATTATCATTTGATTCTAGGAATTTGAAAATGTTCTCCCTGCTTCATTCACAAGTGAACTGTTTAATCTGTGTATTTATATAGTTTCTATGTTTTTCTACTATTGATTTCTAGTTTTATTCCACTATAATTTGATAAGATGTGAGAAATTACCTCTTGTTTTTGTTAAGGCTTTCTTTATGACCTAAAATATTATCTCTTTTGGAGAATGTTCCATGATCTGCTGAGAAGGATGTGTATTCTGTAGTTGTTGGAGGGAATGTTCTATAGCTGTCTGTTAAGTCTCTTTAGTTCATTGTATAATATAACTCTATGTTTCCTTGTTGATTTGTTGTCTGGATGACCTATCTATTGGTAAGAATGGAGTATTGAAGTCCCCGACTGTTATGGTATTGAGACCTATGTGTCCCTTTATATTCTGACAGAGATTAATGTTTTAAATATATAACATACTCAAAAAACTTAACACCAAAATATGAAAGAGCCTAGTCAACAGATGTGCAAATAAATTGAACAGATGCTTCTCAAAAAAAAAGTACAAGTGGAGGGCTGGGGATGTAGCTCAGTGTCACAGCACCTGTCTGGCAAGCATGAGGTCCTGAATTTGATCCCTGGTACAAAAAAAAAAAAATCATTGAATAACTGAAAAACGGTTTAACATCTTTTGAACATAACATTCCCTAGTTAGCTATTAGGGAATTCCAAATCAGGATGGCTATCATCAAGAGTACAAAAAAACAATGAATGAGAATATGGTGAAAAGAGGAGGCCTTGTACAATGCTGGTGGAAATGTAAATTAGTATATCCACTAAGGAAATTGTATATAGGTTCCTCAAAAACTAAAACTAGAGCTACTATTTGATCCAGCTATACCATTCCTTACTTGCATCAGAAACAATTAAAGTTGGCATACAGTAGGGACGCCTGTATCCACGTTTACTGTGGCACAATTCATAATAACAAAGATATGGATGCAGACTATATGATCATCATCAAATGAATGATAACGACTATGTTATATGTACATAGTGGAATATTATTCAGCCATAATGATGTAACAGTATTCTATCATTTGCAAGAAAATGGATGGACCTGAAGAAATAAGCCAGACTCAGAAAGAAAAATATTGGATGTTCTCCCTAATGTATAAAAACTTTAAAAAAATGGCAAGAATGTAGAAGGGAAACTCTGACTAGGCAAGAAGAAGGGTATAGGAGGGGGAGAGATATGAAGGCAGGAAATGGGAGAATGAATATGAGCAAATTATGCACATGGAAACCCTCACAAAATGGAAACAAGTAGGTAGGGCAGGGCAAGGGGATTGACAAGAGAGTGAAAATGATCAAAGTAAATTATGTGCATGTAAAAAGCTAATCCATATAACCAATGAAAGCATGGAATGAAAAAAAAAAGGCAGAGAGAATAGTGAGGAAGAGTGGCCAGCCTCACCCATGCTGCCTTCTCCCTGAGCATAAGCTGTAGGGAAGCTATTTTACAGTGCACAGGGCTGAGCACGTCTTGACTTGTCTCCTCTGTTCCAGGGGTCACCTGCCCTCCCAACAGCCATTATGAGAGCTGCGTGAGTGTCTGCCAGCCCCGCTGTGCCGCCATCCGCTTGAAGAGTGACTGCAACCACTACTGTGTGGAAGGCTGTCAGTGTGATGCGGGCTACGTTCTCAATGGCAAGAGCTGCATCCTGCCTCACAACTGTGGCTGCTACTCAGATGGCAAATATTATGAGGTACAGGAGGCCCTACTTTTCCTCTTTGCCAATCACCAGGTTTCATTCCAACTCCAAAAGGTGGTTGGACTGACCAATCTTCCGGCCTCATGATGCAAAATGTGGTGTGTATTGCCAGGCAGGTAGGGGCAGGAAAGGTCAAGCCCTGCTTGCAGGAGGCTCATGCTCACTGTGGGATTTGGAAAAGCTCTGGGCCTCACCCTCATCTCCCCTCCAAATAGGCAAGGCCTCTTACTCTCTCGAATGCCTTTCTCTGGCACATAGGCCCTTCTGAATTCCCTCTCCTGTATATCTGAGTTTGAAAAGCTGTTGCTTGGAAATATAGTGGCCGTGAATCTGACATTTGTAGCTGTCTCGGTGAAGGACATTTTAAAACTATAATATATGGAGCTTGAGGCTGGAGAAGTGGCCTTCCCTTTCTGGTGACTGAAGCTTCCAGTGAGCGAGTTAAGGTTACCACCTCCAAACGTGTCATTTTTCACTCTGATACCATCTCCAGAGAGTTAGGGCTGGGCTGCTGTGCCCTGACATCCCGCCCTCTTTATGGGGACTTAAACATAGATGAAGAGGCCCCTTATCAATGTTTTCCAATAGGACATAGTATGAGCTCCCTAAATCATTTTACTCGTTAGACTTTTTAATCTCACTCCCTTTCATCCGTACCCTGTACTGGGGATTGAAACTATGGCCACTGTCATACTAGGCAAGGTGTGTACTACTGAGATGCACCCCAGCTCTGTAATCTTTTCTAATGTGCCATGATACTGAAGTAGAAAAGGCCTTGCTAGAGATTGTCTTTGTTTAAGGTTTTGCCTCAAACCCGTTCCCTGTTTAAATAATGTCAAAATCTCCTCTGGGTAAGTGGACAGTTAATAACTGCAAAAACTGAGTACTTGCCATTTGCAAAGTACTGTGCTGGTGGTATTGTGTAGGATGAGGAAGGATGTTCCCTGCCTTAAGGAATTGGAAGTCCATTCAAGAGAGAAAAAAGTGTGCTTTAAAGAACAAGAGAACAATTACAAAATAATGTATTAACAAGTGAAAAATAATACTCTACAGAACTAATCAAATATAAATGAAAGAGAATAGCATTTAGAAGAAATCTAACTGAAATATCTAATTGGAAATCAACTAGACAAAAAATAAATGATGTCTTCTTTTTGTAAAGATGCATTGACTTGTTCAAAAACAACTACATCACCTTTGCCTTGGGAATAAATAAAAGAACAGAAATGCAGATGTTACCTTCAATTTCATTAGAAAGTGTATTTAAGTGCTGTATTAGAAGCAGAAAAGAAATAGAATAAAATAGTAGAGCTAACTTTTAGGAGAGGTAGTATTCATGTTAACCTTAGGAAAATTATTTAAAAGAAGAGGCAGAACATGTAGGAGAAAATAGCACTAATTAGATTTTCTTGTAATCTGGGAGAAGATATGAGCAGGCTCAAGACTCAAAGAGCATCCTTCTAAACTCTGCTCGCTGGCCCAGAAACTAGCTAAAATATATCTGTCAACTGGGCTGTGCACCCCTCTTCTGGGATGCTGACTGTCAGTGGCATAAGCAAGTGAGACCTGGGTTTGATCCTAGCTCTACCACTGCTGGAGGTGTCACATTGCACCAACTCTGTCATTTCCCTGAGCTTCTATTTCCTGCTGAGTGAAATGGGGTTTCAAACATCAACTCATCAACTCAGTATTGCTGTTGTATCATCTAGGGTAGGTGACTAGCGTAGCACTTGTCACCTAGTCATTCAATAATTGTGGCTGCTATTGTTGTTTCCATTCTCTTGAGAAACATTTTGTATATATCTAGGGTAGGTGACTAGCGTAGCACTTGTCACCTAGTCATTCAATAATTGTGGCTGCTATTGTTTCCATTCTCTTGAGAAACATTTTGTATATAAAAAAAAATACAGGCATGTTAATGAAATGATGCATATAAAAGCCCTTGGAATGCTCAGGAAAGGCACAGTACACTTCTCAGCAGCTATTGCTACTGTAAACATTATTATCTGTTTTTCATCAGAAAGTCAGTGGGTTTTGACAACTGCTTATATTTGGGAAGTAGCTAACTCACAGAATAAATAATCCACATCCATTTGGAACAATTCAAACAAGCTTGGGGCTTGTTTATACAATACATTTCTTTGGAAATAAAGAGAGAACACATCTAGCCATTAACATGTAGGGTAATCACCCAGCTGTCGTTGTCATGTCTAATTAAGGTAAAGAAAGCAGCATGGGGCCAGCCACTTCGCTGTGATGCTGGTTTCATGATCAAGTTCTCCCTTGGATGAGTTATTTCCCCTTGATCATATCCACATACATCAAGTTGTTTTTTTCTTTTCACCAATGTAATGTCTGGGTTCCTATCAGAAAGAGGCCAGACTAACCACTCAGTTATTCTGTAGATCTGATAAGAGAAGTGAAGTCCATTTGTAAGGTTGCTAGCACTCAGAATATGTTATAGATCTGGAAGAAAAGATGGGGTTCTAGGAACTGCTTCACTTGAGGATAAAAGAATCAATCATGGCATCTTGAAGTGCACTGGATGGAAATATTTCACTTCTCTCTCGTTACCCTTACATCTCAGTGTTACCTGTAGTTGATATATACAGTTTTGGTAAATCTATAACCAAAGCAGCAAACAACAAAAGGACAGACCCATACATTTTTTTGTGCGATTAAAACATATTTTCTGGATAGCACTGTTTTGATAAATCGATATGGGTTGAGCATCTCTAATCTGAAAAGCTGAACTCTGAAATGCTCCAAACTGTTTGAGAGGTGATATGATGCCAGAAGTAAAAAAAATTCCATACCATGGAACTTTGTTTTATAAGCAAAACTATCAAAATAATGTTTTAAATTACTTTCAGGCTGAGTGTAAAAGATGTATACGAAACATTGAAACATAGATGAATTTTGTGTTTAGACTGGGTCACATCCCTAAGACTGGTCTATCTTCTACCTACCTATTTATGCATTATTTATATTATATATAAATATTCCAAAAGCTGAAAAAAAATCCAGAATCTAAAACACTTCTGGTTCCAGGCACTTCAGATAAAGGATGTTAAACCAGGATGTTCAACTTGTGAAGCACGGTGCGCCCGTATCTTTGTCATAGTGCACTTATCCAGGCCACACCCTATTTGGACAATCATGATAGACTTGGAACAGTTCCCTTCAGTTCTTAGACCTAGTATAAGATCACGAATACAAACTTTACCAAGCAGAATTATGTCTACTACAGATTGTTGCCTGTTTGGAAAGACCTGAAAATAACAGCTGTCTCCAACTGAGAGTATATTATGCTACAGGTAGTTTAATGGCTTTATATAACCTCTTCACTCTCTGAAAGAGGGTGAATGTAAATATAGTAGCTATTATTTACTGAGTGCCCACTCTGCCCCAGGAGGTATGTTTCAGATGTCTTAATTTTCCCTTCACAATTGCCCTGCAAGACATGATTATGATTTCCAAGTTAGAGATGAGCAAAATGACACTCTGGGGTGTTAATGGTGTTCTCAGGATAGCACTTGTAGGGTGACAGGGTGAGACTTCCATCCCAAGTTGTCTGTCTGAGCCTGAAAGTTTCCTTTCTCCAAAACCTAGCTGTTGGTAGACTTGTTACAATTCAGGACCCAGTGAAATGGAGCTACTTGCCACAGAAGTTAAGACACAGGGGAAATACTTGGAAGAGTGAATATTGTGAAATATTGAAAAAGTTGATACTAAGAGTTGGCTATCACTTACTTTCAAATATTTAAGGTTTGAAGAGCTGGTTTCTCATTCTTGAGTGAATTTAAATTTCATCCTTGAAGTGGAGCCTGTTTTTGTTAAACAGTTCCTTGGTTTAAAAAGAAAGAACGGAAGAGAGAGAAACAGAGGGGAGAGGAAGAAGAAAGGAGAAAAGAAAGAAGGAAGAGAGGGAGAGGGAGATCTACAATGTATTTTTTCTTTTCACTTAGCTCCGCTAACAGCTGTACACATTCAGGTTGGCAGTGATTAGTTCTACAAACCAACCATAAAGATTCCAGAGTTCTTGATTGAAACCAATAAAGTCTAAATTGTATATTATTTGGCATCGGAGTTGCATGGAATTGATGTGGCGTTTGAATTAAAGCCGCCTCCCCGCTGCTCCCTGTTGCAACTCCAGCCCCATTAAAGATAGGCTGGTAAAGGGTCCAGATGGACTGGGCTTTGGGGTCCCCGCTCCTGACCACTGCCTGACTTTTAACGCAAACAATTCTCTTCCAGCCCAAGCAGCTGTTCTGGAGCAGCGACTGCACGCGGCGCTGCCGCTGCTTCCGGCGCAACCTGATCCAGTGCGACCCGCGCCAGTGCAAGTCTGAGGAGGAGTGCGCCCTGCGCAACGGGGTGCGCGGCTGCTTCAGCACCAAGACCTCCTACTGCCTGGCGGCCGGCGGCGGCGTCTTCCGCACCTTCGACGGCGCCTTCCTCCGCTTCCCAGCCAACTGCGCTTTCGTGCTCTCCACCATCTGCCAGAAACTGCCTGACATCTCCTTCCAGCTTATCATCAACTTCGACAAGTGGTCCTCCCCCAACCTCACCATCATTTCACCCATCTATTTCTACATCAACGAGGAGCAGATTCTCATCAGTGACCGCAACACGGTCAAGGTGACCAACCCGACCTTCGTTCTTAGGAAATGTACCTGGCAAACAAGGGTCTGGATAATGGACTGTTTGTTGTGGTTTTCCCAGCTAACCAAGTTCTAGAATAATAAATAGGTGATTGCTGGCCGTACACAGATGGCCAGCTGTTAAAGAATTGTATCTTAAGCTTTATTCAAAGGCCTAGCGAGAAATTTCTCTAGGAGTCATAAGACTAGCATGGGTGCTAGTAGATCTTCAGGTGATAAAATGGTAGATAAATCAGCTTTTAGTCTGAATTAATTTCCAGAAGCATCTCACTTTTTTTCAAGAGCCTTTACAAATTTTCTTGACTATACCCATCTGTAAGTAGACCATCACTCATCTCTGCTATTCTTTCTTAAAACTTAAGAGAAGGCAAGGTAGGTATACCCTGAGTATAAAAAGCAATTACCTAATTAAGACCCATGGAAGCACTCCGCACTGTCAGAGTCCCCTTGATGACAAAAGATAGAAAATAGGAGGCTGAATATGGTGAATTTCTCTTAGGTTCACTCTTCCTTGGGCATGTTACCTGGCTGTGTGTGTGTGTGTGTGTGTGTGTGTGTGTGTATGTGTGTGTTTTAGGCCTACGTATAAATAAATGTGAAGCTCCTGCCAATCCTTGTAATTATTGACTTCCTCCACCCCTTCTACTTAAGAAGATAACCAGCTCTGGTGAACTTGTGACAGGGACCCCAATCTCTCAGCTGAACCAGGCTTGTCACAGCCAATGGACTAGGTTTCATCACTATGAGCACAGATGAGATGAGGAGAGAGCCACATTAACATTTGTTAGAGCTGAGTGTCTGTGTCTGCTTTCCACTACTGGCTTGGATAATCAAGCATTGAGTATATCTTTATTTGAAGTCATCAAATAGGTTAGTATCCAACATTAGGGAAAAAGACTGGCTATTATTTTGCATGCTAAAAAGGAAGAATCTGGATTTTAATACTGGTTTTTAACTTCAGTGAAAGCTGCTGCTGCTTTTGACATTCTGATTCCTGTTGTGAATTGGCCCACATGGACACAACTTCACTGGTCCACCATACAAGAGCAAGAAAGTGGAAGTGTCCACTTGAGATAGCAAAATTGACAGTGTCGCTGAATATAATATCCCAAGCCATCCAAAATAGCAAAGGCATTTTAAAAAAACGGCATTTGCTTTTTTATGAAACAAAAATTACTAATAACCTGTGGGGGAAAAACAATTTATTTTGTAAGTACAAGAAATACACATTATATTCTGTCCCAAGGGCTAAGAAAAGAAAATGTTATAAAGCAAGAAAATGACAAATGCAGAAAATGCTGTGCCTATAGGACCTCCGGGGCTGGAGAAGGGACTCAAGTTTGAACATTATAAACAAGAAAGCAACGAACACGGCAGTGTTTCCCAGATTCATTTTAACTGTGTTGGACTCTGATATAGGATTACAATGCCATTTTCAGTAATTGGTTTATACTAGGGAAAGTTTTACACACATCTCCAGTCATTGATTATAAGTTGTACGGTTGTAAAATATTCATCTCTTCTGCACCATAGTTTTCTTCCTTTGCGGGAACCATGGAGAATAAAAGGATATTGACTTCCTTTTCCCCTCCTCCAACAGGTGAATGGCACCCAAGTGAATGTTCCATTTATAACTGGTTTGGCAACCAAAATCTACAGCATTGAGGGGTTTCTAGTGATCGACACCAGCCCTGACATCCAGATATATTACAATGGCTTCAACGTCATTAAAATCAGCATCAGCGAGAGGCTGCAGAACAAAGTGTGTGGTCTCTGTGGCAACTTCAATGGGGACCTGACTGATGACTATGTGACCTTGCGGGGGAAGCCAGTAGTGAGCAGCGTGGTGCTAGCTCAGAGCTGGAAAACCAATGGCATGCAGAAGAGGTGAGCCCATGCACAGTCCAAGCCGCTAGTCGGGGTGACTCCAGTCTTCCCACATCCAGGGGAGGAGTTAATGAGGAGTATACTTCCCTCGGTCTCCATCACCCTTCCTCTCCTACAGAGCATGGCTTTGGAGTTTTGATGCTACAAATAGGCATATCAGTGACCCTAGAAATTTCTTGAACTGCAGAGGAAGGAACTGGGCTTAGACAATATGACTAAATGATCATTGTCATCCAGCCCATCAGCTAAACAGAAGAGTGTATCCAGGATTAGAACCCTGAAGCTTTAACCAGGTACCCACGTGGGACCTAGGTGCCCCTTGCTGGAGAAAAAAATTAGGAGTTGACTCAGAAGAAGGGAGACAGCCCTTTGCTTCCTAGTGCTAGGCTAGGCCTAATTAAGTGACTGACTTTTATTAGAAGGCTTGACTGGGGTGGTGCAGGCAGAAGTTGTTAGGAATCAGTAAAGTCTTTTCAAAAATATAGGTGTCATGAAAGTTATTATCAGATCCACCTCAAGATAGCCGAGATGAATGAGCTAAACAAGTTATGCCAGAGGTATTTAATTTAGGATTATATTGAGTCCTTTCTGGAACTATAGATGGGCTTCTCTTTCCTGGTGTTTCTTTGCTTGTACAATGGCTCAGACCCCTTATGCTTTATATTCAAGATATCAGGCAAATACATAGTTGAAGAAAAGATGATGCAGGCCCTCTTTGTCCCTGCCCCAAGTGTAAACTGGAAGTATATTGCATGTTAGATTATCCTGTGAATTATGGGATGCAAAGCTGGGAAGAACCTTGGACAATATCTAGTCCAGTGTGTTCCTCTCCTTGGCAAAACAGAAGTTAAGACGTCTTACTTGCAAGAGGGGGCCTGGGAAGTGGCAAGCCAGTGCTAGATTGCAGAATTCCTAATTTGATGCTTTCTCTGGAATGTCTCTTGGTGACCCATAGATAGAAAGAAGACAGCCTTGGGCTGAGGATGCAGCTCAGTGGTAGAGAGCCTGGCCAACATACATGAGGCCCTGGGTTTGATCCCCAGCATCACCAAAAGTAAAATAAGTCTTTGAAAATTTAAGCTATCATGGGTCTTCCAATGATAAGCAAAATTCAGTTTCTCTTGAAAACGTGTGATTCTGTTTAGATCTCCCCCCTTCCATCCTTCCTTTCATTTTAAAAAATAAACTATAACCAGTTTGACACCAGCTTTGGGAAAGCTTACTTTTTTAGTCTGTGATAGCTAAACTAGAACTGGTTTACAAAGTTCCTGGATTCCCTTTCAAATCTTTAAATCTGCCAACTACATATTGCTTTGCTATTGGTTATCCTGTCCATAGCTGTCAATGGTTATTATATCAATGACATCAATAGTTATACCAAAGTATTAATGGTTTTTATATCAATATCTGCTTTTTGTGTGGCACTTTGGTTATCAGTCCATTATTTTATTTTACCTCTACTGTATCCCAGTTATATAAACAATAGGGCTTACTGATTTACTTTCTTACATGGATAGATGGAGCCCATTGGTACCTGAAAAACATGCTGAAGGTCGCACAGCTAATTGTCATGGGAATTCCCATATAATGCTAACTTCAGGGCTAGCACACACATCTGGTGTGGTCCTATCTTCCACAGGAGATCTCAGGTGGTTGTTTTTGCTTCACTTATTCTGACCAGCCCTCTTGCCCCCAGCTGCAATGAGCTGCAGTTCTCACAGTACGCAGCCACGTGCGACAACGTGCACATCCAGACGATGCAGGGTGATGGCTACTGCCTGAAGCTCACCGACATGAAGGGCTTCTTCCAACCCTGCTATGGGCTCCTCGATCCCCTCCCCTTCTATGAGTCCTGCTACTTGGATGGCTGTTACAACCACAAGAAGTTCCAGCTGTGTGGCTCCCTGGCCGCCTATGGGGAGGCCTGCCGCTCCTTCGGCATCCTCAGCACAGAGTGGATTGAGAAGGAGAATTGCTGTAAGAGAATTATTTTATTTCTGTGGGTTCTTGGCTGGTAGCACTGCTTTATCCAAAGATGACTGGTCCTCTCCATCTTTTCTCACTGGTCTGCCTCCAGGGGTAGAGATTAGGGAGTTGCGGCAGAGATTCAATGAGAAGGAGCATTCCCAGGGCAGCCTCACCCACCTGACCAGTGATGAAATCTGAAAATCAAACAAACAAACAACAACAAACTTTGGAAGATGAGGGTCTTTTGGTTGCAGGAGCAAAGAGACATAGTATAGGACTCTTGACTGATGCTAGTTCAAAAATGCAACTCTCTCTTGGTTCCTTAGACATGAGTCACAGCCCATATCAGAGATAGGAAGTATGTATGACAGGTGGCAAGGCGAATTGAAATTGAGCTGGCTTATCTGCCAGTTGGAAGGAAGCTCCGGTAGGATTTATAAAGGGATTCCATAAGCTAGATAGTAAAATAAAGACCTGTAGATTCTTGTGGGTATTTTTCTGTAGTAAGAAAATTATTTCATTGTCTTTGGTATTTCCATTGTTCATTTTCTTTCTGTGTTAACCAAACAGATGGATAGAAATGTATTAAAACACATATAAACTTGCCATATACATACATGTGTGTCCTAGACATAAGTGGCCATTCCCATTAATGCAGTGTGATACTGTGATCAACAGAATGTGTGCTTGTACCCAGACACACAACACCCACTCCTTGAGTGTATACAGGTGTGCATACAGGCCTATTCCAAGATTACACATACACACTGGTAAATTTACAGACTAAATATGATCAAGTGTAGGAATGTACTAATTCAGAATCTAAAAACAGTGTAACTAATACATATTTAGTGATTTCAAAAACTGTTAAGTAAATTGCTAATCTTGAAGGTCCACATAAATGTTTTAATATTTTACTCTGCGACCTTAAGAAGAAATGCCTCACATATATCTAAAATGAACTGTTTCGAACTTTGAAAATTATCCAGAATATATATATATAATATATATAAATACAATATATAATATAAAACCTATGTATATTAAACTCAAAGTTTCCCTTTGTTTAAAAGGATGTCTTGATTACCAGTTGGCAGATGGACCACCACATTTTAGATGAGGATTCTTCTTTTCTTCCTGTGGACACTAACCTCTGCACTTTCACTCTGTAATTTCCTTGGGTTGCTTCTGTACTGTGCTAATTAGCCACACTCTTCACTGACTGGCTGCTGTGTGCTTGGCACTGTGTTATATGCTGAACACACTTGGTGAGTGAAAGGGTCTTAATAACAGGAAGCCTTTACAAATAAATATGTCTACGTGATGCTGATGGCTTCCCAGAAATTCAGTCAGCCTGGCAGTAGGCCATCCACATTCTACCTGAATTACTTATTTACCAGAGGGATGTGGCAGCAGAGTCAGATGAGGTGTATGGTGCTGTATTTTCACCTCTTTTGTTCTGCATGCAACTATATCTGTGTTGAGAATGCTTAAAATCTACTCCCTTGGTCTTTTCAGGTATACTCCACTTGAATATATTGTTATTAACTATGACCATGATGTATAGTAGATTGATTCAGTATATTCCTAACTGAAATTTTGTATCCTTTAAAAATTCTCTGTGCTAACTTAGCAAGGCTGAACATTTGTTTCTTTAGCACTAACCATGGTGATGGTTATCTTGACAAGAAAGAGATTCTTTAAATAAAGAATTTATAAAGAATAAATTTAAATTTAAAAATTTCTCTTAAAGAAAATGCTCTAAATTAGTTTATCTCCAATAGAGGTGCTGAATATTTGAGGGAAGTTATACAGAAATATTGTTTCTAATAACATGGGTGTGATATATTGTATACACTCGCAAATATATTTTACTTATAATTTTACCCTTCTGACAAAACACTGCCATTAAGCCAGTACTGGTGAATTATGTGTAGGTTTTGATTCACCTGTTTTTTTTTTAAATCAAGTAGCTGTTTACTGAGAATGAACCAAAGTAGTCCTGTTAGAGAGAACCTCTCTGGGATCGTACTGGTCCTAAAATTTTCATTATTGATAAATATTTATTGAGAACTAAGTATGAGGTGGCTGGGTGCTGGCAATATAGAGATAAATGATTGGGAACCTACTCTTTACATAGCTATAAAGAGAGAAATTTGAGCAGTTACAATATGTTAAAGCAGGTGCAGTAATCAAGTTATACTTTGTCAGGTAAGAGTGTCGGTATATTCTGTCCTTACCAGGTACTTTCATGGTGATCTACAGCAAATATTAGCTTTGAAATGGGGGTTATGATACTTAGCTTGAGAGTATTTATGAAAGGAAAATGTACTAATTCACTTGAAGCCTGAATCTCAGTGCCAGGCCCTTAACAAGCACCTGCCATTAGCTATTGCCATTATTTTCTGGAAGGCTATCTTGTCTTGTAACTTGGAGTTGCCATGTGAGCATATCCAGTTGGACTAAAGTGGCAAATCCTGTGTGGAACCAAATGCCACTGTGTGTGGGTGTTAAAATCAGGTTGTGCGTGTTTCTGTGTGTTTTGCTTTTTAGCAGGAGTGGTTGAAGACCCCTGTGTGGGGGTGGACTGTCCCAATCGAACCTGTGAGCTGGACAATGGACGAGAGCTGTGTGGCTGCATTGAGCCACCACCCTATGGAAACAGTGAGTGACTGATGAGAACCACCACCTCCTACCCTGAAGGGCCCGAGGAGGCAGCCTGGAAGTGGCAGTGTAGGGACAGCCCAGGAAAGGGCCTTAATATGTTCCAGTCTGTCGGCTAGAAACCCAGAGAGCATTGAAGCAGAACAAAAAGGCTATTCAAAGTAGGCTGATGTTCATTTCCTCATGTTCACATCCTTTTCTTCAATACGTTTAGCACTCACATTTGTACAGTATATGAACAGAATTAACCAATTCCATCAGAGGCCACGGTGAACATCAAAGATCCAAGTCAATTTTTTAGGCCCATTAGAAAGTTGGTTTGACACCAACAGGAAGAAATTCAGAGGAAAGGGCTAGGTCTCTGAAGACGAGAGAAAAGTCAGCTTTCTCTGGCTCTGAGCTTTTTGATCCTGAAGATGCAACTAAAGTGTCTGAAACAAGCAACTAACTAGGACTCTTGGTCTTGTTCCTAACTATAGTTTACTAGCCTGAGCCTACCTGGATGTCAGCCTGGTGAGCTGCTATCCAGCTCCACACCTTTTCTTAAGCCAGGCACTTCAGAGATGTGCTAAATTTAACATCAGTTGAGAATGGAAGTCTAATTAACTAAAAGGCTTTATAGGAGGGACAGCTGTGTCACCTAGGCAGATAAAAATATTTCTCTCTGTGTCTATAATGCTTTTTAATGGGAGTTTATATACTCACAGAAAATGGTTATTGGTGCATCACTGTGTAAAAAGGCCAACTCTTGGTGCGTGCCTGGGACTCAGAAGATTCTTCTGAGCTGGATTCTGCCAGGGCTTTGGGTGTGGCCAGGCTAGTCCTACTCTAACTGGGGTGGGCGTGCCTCTTAGGCAGGCCACAATGCCAGATTCCTTATGTCACTTACAGGAAAGTAGCTCCTCCCGGTGTGTGGAGGAGGAAGGCCTGGGTTACAAAGAAAAGACAAAATGCACTTTATTAGCATTTCTGTCTTTTTAATGAGCCTCTACCATGTTATTGCTTTGAATGAATTAATATATTCGTTTGGTGTGATCAAAGCTTAACTAGAAACGCTTGCAGTCTGAGTAGAGATCTTTTGCCTCTTCTAAAAAGAATGGCAGTGGAATGCCTCTCCCCACCCCTGTGGCAAGACTGACATCCACCGATTGGTTTTGTAATAACTCTTTTCACAGACTCACATGACATCATCGACGCAGAGGTGACTTGTAAGGCAGCCCAGATGGAAGTGTCCATATCGAAATGCAAACTCTTCCAGCTCGGCTTTGAGAGAGAGGGTGTGAGGATCAATGACAGACAGTGTTCCCACATTGAGGGAGAGGATTTTATCTCCTTTCAGATCAACAACACCAAAGGGAATTGTGGAAACATTGTGCAGGTGAGAAAATGGGTCAGGAAAGAGCACCTGGCAGAGGAAGTGACAAATTCTTAGCACATTGATTGTCCCTAAGTCAGGGTGGTCTAGTTAGAAATGTGTTCTTTGGAGAACGGTAAGAGATGTGAAAAATAAAAGACAGCAGGGGCAGCCATCATTTGGTGCTAAGTGGTTGATTGAAGTGAAAGAGCACAATAAATTATGTGTTTCTTTCCTTGCTCTGTGATGCCTGCTGTCATCATTTATTCTGTGTATCTTCCAGATTGTTGTTACCTTTCTTAGGCTTCTATTGTCCTTTTGGATAAATATAGCTTGGCTTATCTATATGGGGTAGTAAGGATGTCCCAAACTTCATTTAACAACCTAGCAAAGCACAGCAAGGTCCCAACTTCTAGTGTCAGATTTTCCGATGTATACATCAGCAAAGCATCTTGCTTCTCTTCTTGATCTTATGGTGAGTATTTTACTCATGACTCTGCTCATTAACACTTTCATCAGATGGTCAAAGGAGTAAGGAGCTGAAACTCTCATGCTCAATTTGCTTCTTATAGGTGTGCCTGATAAAAGGTTTGGCGGAGGAGAGATTTTGAATTAAGGGCTGAAAAGAATTTTCATTTCAATTTATATTACCTCACAATGGCAGTATTTCATGCTTTCCCTGGCTCAGGTTCCCATAGATAACTGGGGGTTGGTGGTAGTTAGAATTCAGTAGGACATGGTATCTACCTTCTTTGGGCATTCAAAGGTTATCAGACTGAAGGGTACTGTTGGCATCCATTGTAGTACTTTTTCCCCACTAAATGCTGAGGCTAGCTTCACATTGATTTATACTGGCCTCTGGATTATATATGGAATGAAGCCATTTCTCCACTTTCAGGGATATGGATTTAAAATGCAAGCCACATTCTCACTCCCAGATTTAATGATTTCTGACCTCTCCTTGGTCTGCAGTCCAATGGCACTCATATCATGTATAAAAACACGATCTGGATCGAAAGTGCCAACAATACGGGCAACATTATCACAAGGGACCGCACAATCAATGTGGAATTTTCTTGTGCTTATGAGCTGGATATCAAGATCTCCTTGGATTCTGTTGTGAAGCCTATGCTAAGGTAAAAGATTGCGTGGTCTGCGCTCATTGCTTTGTCTTTCCTTGACAGTTAAGGTTAGCATAATCAAAACTGATCACATTTACCTCTGAAGCAATAGGGAAAATATAATTCCTATTTTCGGAACCTAAATGCTTTAGACAAGCATTGATCAATAGAATTTTCTGTGATGTTGGAAATGTTCCACATCTGAACTAATCAATATGGTAGCTACATGTGGTCACTGAACACTTGAAATGTGGCTCAAGGGACTGAGGAATTAAATTTTTTATTCTGTTTAACTTAATTTTATTTAAATGTAAACTCCTTGCACCTAGTTGGTACCACATTGGACAGCACAAGAACTTTTTTACTACATGCTTTGCCTTCCTTCTGCTTTCTCAGCTTGAAAAATGGCAGGTAATTGAATAAAGTTTTTTCCATTCCCTCCCTCATGACTGTTTCTGTTTTAGTGTCATTAACCTGACAGTTCCAACCCAAGAAGGCAGCTTCACTACCAAGATGGCGCTCTACAAAAATGCCTCCTACAAACATCCTTACCGCCAGGGTGAAGTAGTATTGACTACTCGAGATGTACTATATGTAGGGGTCTTTGTAGTCGGGGCAGACTCCACCCATTTGATCCTCACACTCAACAAATGCTATGCTACCCCCTCCCGAGACAGCAATGACAAACTCCGATACTTCATCATTGAAGGAGGGTGAGTAGCTTTTGGACAGATGAGCCTCTCAGAGATTTTAGTGTAATATTGTCTACATTATTTTTTAGGGAGAGAAATGGGAGCTTGTATTTCTTTACACCTACAGAACCAGCAATTTGGAGTAGAAAGTTCATCTAATTTTCATAACCTATGAAGCAGGTTTTATAAGCCTCATTTATATTTATGGATGAAATCAAGCAACTTGCTTTATAGCCATACACCAAGTCAATGGCAGATCCTCATGTCCTGTGGCACTTAATACAAGATGCTTTATTCTCATTGTGATCACAGAGGGGTGGTTTTGTCCTGTTACTTTAACCTTCAATTTGAAAGGAATGTGGAATTCTGTAAGTGAAAGAATGCACTCAGAGTAACTAAAGGCTAATGAGTATATTAGTTTTCCTCTTATCTGAGGGAAGTACATTCCAAGATTCTCTGTAGGCCTAAAACCATGGAGAGTACTGAACCCTATGTATGTTGTTCTTTCCTATAAAAGTGGGATAAAGTTTAATTTATGAATTAAACTAAGAGTTTAATATCTATAACTAATGATAAAATAGAACTATTATAACATTATGCTGTAATAAAATCTCTATGAGAACAATCTTTTAGAATCTTGCTGTATTATACTCACCCTTCTTCTTCTCATGATCATGTGAGATGATGGGGTCCTGACCCGATAAAATTAAGGAGATGTGGGATGTAGGCATTGTGTATGGTGTCAGACTATGTATAAGGGTCACTTGAACATGAGCACTGGGATACTACAACAATAGGTGGCTAACAAGTGACTAGTGGCAGGCAGCATACACAACAAGGATACATCGGGCAAAAGAAGATTCATATTCTAGAAGTATAGAGTGGGACAGCACAAAATTTCCTCATGCTACTTAGAATGGCATGTAATTTCAAATTTATGAGTTATTTCAGGAATTTTCCATTTGATATTTTCATACTACTGATGGAAACTGTAGAAAGTGAAACTGGATAAGACACACTGCGTGTCTTAGTCACTAGGATGAAACACCTGACACCTACAATTGAAGGAAGGAGACGTTTCATCTGGCTCACGTTTCAGTCCAAAGTCAGAGCAGCATGGCAGAAGAGCATGGTGGACAGGAAACAGAGAGAGTCAATGGAGGGGCCAGGAAGGGAGAGATAACCTTCCGGGTCACGCCACATTGACCTGCTTCTTCCAAACATATCCAACCTGCTAACAAACCATCTATCAGCCCCTGTGATCCAGTCACCTTCTATAGGTTCCACCTGTGATTCCATGAGCACATCTAGGTGTACATATCACACCATAATGACCTACAAGCTCAATAAGTTTCTTTTTATTCATCACTTTTCACTTATTTCCTAAAACATATTGGTTACACCACAGCATTTATGGAATAAAGGAATGTGTGAATGAGAAGTGTATAGACCAAACAACAATAAGAATAATTATCTTAATTTTAAAAACACATAATGATTATGTCAGGCAATTTATGCATATAATAATGAATTTTATAATAATTCATTCTTAACAGCTTTACTGCATACATAATTTACATGCAATAACATTTACTTGTTTTAAGTGTAAAATTCAGTGATTCTTAGTAAATCTGCAGGAGAGCACAAGTATCACCATCATCTAATTTTGGAACAATTCCATCACCCAATGCAGTAGTTCTTAAAGCAGGTGGCTGTATTTATAGAATTATAATTGGTAGAGGACAATTTAAATTATGCAAAAAAGCAAGGTATTTAATGGTTACAAAACCAAATCACAGGAGTAAATGTAGCTGTCAGGACACTTTCCTTGCTCTGTCTTTTGTCTTCTTCTCCTTCTCCTCCTCCCCCTCCTTCTGCCTCTCTCCTTCTCCTTCTTCCTCTCTCTCTCTCTGATCTTCATAATCACTAGCAATGCTGCCCTCATATACTTATACCATGGTCACCATTGAGGAGATAGTATTTTAAATTCTAAATCAGGTAATGCCAAGGAAGGAATATGACTCACCTGACTCACCTGTCTTGTATCACTTGCTTGTCCTCCTTTTAGTGAATGAATCACTGGAATTGCCTGGCCTGGGTCAGCACCCACCCCTGTGGGGGGTAGGGGATACTCTGGATACTACAATTAGCTTTGTGTTTGGGAGCAAGAGGAATGGTGCCTTAAAAGAATAAGGGTGTGGCTATAGAATAATAGACATGTAGTACTTTGCAGATGGAACAGGCTTGGAGAAGTTAGACATAGAGCTCATCCATAGCCATCCAACTGGCAAGGGGTAGAGAAGGAATTTTCCTGGGTGTCAGGATATACAGCCCCCTAGTGGACCAGGTATGGTGTATAACATGGCTTGCCATTGTGTTGTAGACTTTTTCTCAAAGTTCTCACCGAGGCATTTGTCTCTTTGAATTGGTGTTCAGCCTTGTCAGAGATGAAGGAAGGGACTTGGTGACTACTTGGTCTCTTCCAATCATTGATTATGTTAATGTCACGCTTCCCTTTTCTCCGTCTTTATTGCCTCTAGAGCTTGTGTCTCCTCTGAAGGACAATGTGGTATTTAGCCTTTGGAAAATAGTATTTAATGGACTTGACCTAGAGAGGGAGAGTGACCCAGTGAGCGTGTTCATAAATCTCAGGTTACCCTAGGGTCTGTTTGAATAAAGGCCTTCAAATTAAACTGTTTTTAGGTGGGAAATTACTTTGTCATTTGGTAAGATTTGAATCTATCAGTCCTTCTAACCTTTCTTGGAGGGATGTGATTAGTTTTGTTCTGTTGAATTTATGGGAAAACTGACACTCAGTGCTAATGAATGAGCAACAAAATGATCCATGATCCACTTCAGTGTTTTAGACGGTCAGCTGTGTGGAGGTAGCACCAGCTTCTGCCAGTGCTCAGAAGCCTGGGGAGATACTAGCCACTTCTATCTTCTCTTCATGTGTCTGAACAGAGGGGAGGACAAGTGTTCTTTGTCAGGGGTGAAAGATTCTCATGCTTAGCTTGTTTGCTTGCTCTTAGAGAGGCACCCAGACAGTTATCCCTTGTCCCATAGGCCTCTTCGCTGTGCTGTACACTTTTCTTTTACCTAAACTTCAAGCCATCTCTTAGGAGAGAGTTTGTGGTCTGTCTGACTTAGAAGAAAGGTCTGTGTGAATACTGGAGGCTGCTACCTTTTCAGAAGCCTTGATCTGATTTAGATTATCCAAATGAAGAATGATAAGGAAAAACAGGGCACATTAAGTTTTTCTTTCAAACGTTTAAGAGACTATTGCCTTAAGGATTGCCTTGCTCTTTGCCTAGAAGACTAATTACAAAACTTAATAGGTGTGAGGATGCTGAAGGATAACTTCAATTTTTAATTTTCTTTATTGCTAAACTATTTAATCCTGTGGGCTTGAGGGAAAGAAACATAAGAAAAAGAATCACCTCCTTTATCATTTGTAGAGCCTCTTAACTGTTATCTTGGCCATGGCAGGACAATTCATCCATCCATCCATCCAATAAATATTTTAAAATTCAGACTGTACAATGTGCTGCAACCATAGTGGAGATGGTGACTTGATTCTTGCACTTTAGTAACTTAAAGGGGTGCTGTTGGCAAATCCAGGAAAGGCTATCAGTTCCTAGTTGTTCAGGTTGTTCCTAGAGGATGCCATAGACTCGTGCAGAGGAAAGAGTGGAGTTATTCATGGGAAGAGCAAAAATACCTTCCACTGGGGAAAATATTCCATGAAGGTGCTAGAGCACAAGAGACTGGGGTGCACTGGGGGTACTTTTAAGGAGTCAAAGCAAAGTCTCTGTGCCTGAGTATGTCTTGGCTGTGACTGGATATTACTGCAATACTACAAGAGGGAAGAGAGTTGAGAGAAAAGGTGATGTCCTCTGCCAAAATGATTCCCCACTGCATCCTCCATGGCACTGCTTTCCCATCTAGCTCCTGCCTGTTTAATTCATGGGAAGAGTTTCAATCAGGGTTTGAATAGAGAGCCCCTGCCAACCTTGATAACTAACTGAGGAAAGTGCAGAGGAAGTAAGATCTAATTTTGTGTTTGTTAAATTGTTATCAGTAAAACACAGCATTATGAGGGGGCGGACTGAGGACTTGAAGCATGGGGAGATTGAGTGCAGTCCTTATAGTCATTTAGTTTTTAGTTGTAGTGAAGACACTAACTCAAGGTGGTATTCAATCTTTCAAGGCAGACTATGAGGGAGTGATAATAAATGACAAACTCATGCCATCCAGAGATCACTTTCAAATGCAGTTATTTTTACCATTGGTTTTATATGAGATGTAAAATTTTGAAATGAAGATGTGAATTTATGTATGAGCAAAAAGAAAATGTGAAGCAAAGATTCCATTATTTGTTCTGAATAGGTGTCAGAACATTAAAGACAATACCATCGGCATTGAGGAGAATGGAGTCTCCCTAACCTGTCGCTTTCACGTCACTGTCTTTAAATTCATTGGGGATTATGATGAAGTTCATCTTCACTGTGCAGTGTCCCTTTGTGATTCAGAAAAGTACTCCTGTAAAATTGTAAGTGAGAGCATAAAAATGGAATGCTTAGTCTCATTTCTTACTGTCTTGGTTTTTCCAACATGGTAACCAGGAATGTTGGGTATGGCTGAATGTAATCACCTATGTGTATTTAGGAGTGGACAGTCACCTTTGGGAAGAATAACACAATGGAATGATGCCCATTTGCCCCTCTGCCTCTGAAATGCCTGCTGGTCTTTGGTTTAACACTGGGCTGGGGCCCCTCAGCCTTGGTACTGTTCACATTTTGCAATGAATGTCTGAAGCATCCTTGGCCTCTACCCACCAGATGCCAGTAGCATCTGTCCTGCAATTTCAACACCCTAAAAATTAGGCAAATTGCCAAATGTTTTCTGTGGGACAGAATTGACCTGGTTGAGTACCACTTGACTAGAGTCTCAAGGAGTGGATGAGTCCCATTGTACTATGGAAGAAACTCTCGGGCTCAGAATGCAGTTTACTTGGTGTCCTATAGCTCATCTGATCTACACCAGGGCCTGTGGTCCTAGAGAGGTTGGTAGCATGAAGACGAAGTGCCAACCAAGCATCTCTTCCATTCTGGCTTTAGACCCCCCCACTGTGTGTGACTACGTCCTTTATATTTGATTGTGCTGGTACCTAGCTTCTACCCTTTAGCATTCCAACTTTTTTCTTGTCCTATGTTTGTAGAACCAAGATGTGAATTATGGCCAGAGCTACTTACAGATGGTGCAGCATACATTAGTGTCTGATAAATACAACAGTCCTCATTCCCAAGCAGAGAGCTTCTTTGAATGTAATTCTAGTGTGAAGAGTATATTTAATTCTGCTCAACATAAAGTCTAGAATCCCAGTGGGCTTGATGATCAAGAATGCATTGGTTCTAATTAACCTGGGCAGCAATAGTGCTGGAGGCCGGAGCCACTGCCTCTTTTGGAGGTGGAAACATGGTGAAGAATAAGTTATCAGTTTAACTGTGTGAAATTTCCCCTCTGGCGTTCTGTCTTTCAGCATTGTCCACAAAATTCCAGGATTGCTACAGATTATACAAAAGAACCTAAAGAACAGATCATTTCAGTGGGACCTATTAGGAGAAAAAGTATGTATGCTCCCTAAAACACACTATAAATTGTTAAAACAATGGGATTTGAAGGCTCAGACGTGCTTCACCTGTGATGTGGGTCTAGTGGATGTGAAAGTGGCAGTGGGGACAGCAGTGTAAAAAGCTGACAGCCTACTCCCTCCTAAAAATCTTTTTATTGGCTTTTAAAAACGCAGTGGGCTTTGCTTTGTCCTCTCCTTTCTTTAAAGCATTCCCTTAGATATGAACTGAAGGGTGGAACTGTCAATAATTAATTTCCCACTGCTCATTTTCAGGGCTAGACTGGTGTGAGGATAATGGGGGATGTGAGCAGATTTGCACAAGCCGGGTGGATGGGCCTCTGTGCAGCTGTGTGACCGGGACCCTGCAAGAGGACGGCAGAAGTTGCAAAGGTAATGGCTCCTCCACATTGGCACAGGCAGTTAGGAGACAGGGTGTTCCTTACCCCAGGAGACAAACTCATATTTGTGACCCACTCAGCAGCTTACCTAGGAAGATTCCAGAAATGAAGAAGGAAAGGCCTGAGGAATTCTAGTACCATTTTGAAAAGAAAATTGGGTCCCTGCTCTGTCACCCAAAACATATTTTTAAAAAAGTATCCAACCTTTTTAGTAATATGTATGTGTATGTGTGTG